CTTACAATCACCATCATAAAACAAGTGGTGAAAAAAAAAATGATGAACAATTTTTATATATCGTTTCATCATCAATAAATTTTGTTTGTATAAACACATTGCACACACATAGAAAATATGATGATGATCAATGATCAAGATTTTCAAATAAATGTTGATCATATAAACACAAAACAAAAAAAAATCCACTTGGCTCTCTCTTTTTTGGATTTTCTTGGGAATTTATTTTTCATTATCTTTTTTGTTCAATGATTTTTCATTGAAAAAATTTTTTTTTCTCTGTTTCCTGTTGTTGTTTCAAATTCAATTATAATTATATATTTAATGGGTAAAAAGATTTTTTTTTCTAATTTTCCAAGAAATGTTTTCATTGTATGCGGGTTTTTTTCCATCTTTTTGATTATTTTGCCGAGACATGGAAAGAAGCCTGACAAAAGATCGATAATTTAATCGAATACAACATTTTGGGTAACAATATCCGATTGGAGTGAAATTCAAATTGACAATCTGATATTCAATTTTTTTTCTACCTTTTAATTCGATGATTGCCGATTGATTTAATTTAATTTGATGCGAAAAAAACGGTTTTTTCGCATTTCAATGTATCGATATTTTTTTTATCATTAATAGGGGAAACCTTATCACAATGTTTACGAAGGAACAGCAGCAGCAGCAGCTGCAGAATCAATCTGCATAGAAAAATCACCAATGCTGCCAGAAAAATGAGCAAATGATTTACAGCAGCAACAATTAATTGTCTTTGTGTGCTGTGGGCAATATATATATATGGTAATCACAACATAAAATTTTGCCTTAAAATCAAAATTGATATTTTTCTTTTTCTTTTTTGCTCGTTTTGTTCACGATAAAAATATTTTTTTTTAAAGAAATAAATGTTCAATCAATCAATCGAGTGATAAGTTGAATTTAGAGAAAACAAACGAAAAAAAAACATTTTTATCATTCACAATATAAACACTTATTAATTGTATATACTGTGAATGGAAAAAACACACACACACACAAAAAGACATGTGTGTACATTTATCGTCAAAATGGTGATAATTGGATCAGATTTGATACTAAAAAACATCATTTAATTCTGGAACATAAATTCGAAAAAAAAATCACTGGAACAGGGATCGATGGGGTATGAGGAAGTCACAGTTGAACAGAACAGTTTTTTTTTGCAAACCAGCATGTTGTAAACCGGAATTTTTTTTTTTTTTTGAAAAAAGACATCATCATTATCTACGGTAAACAATTGAAAAAAAAATTTCATCAATTTTATCATTATGGTAATAAATTCTTGGTGTTTTCCAATAACTTTCTCTCTCTCTCTCTCGATTTTAATAATTTTTTTTCATTATTTATTCACTAGAATTCCCATATACATCCGATGAATAGCTTCAAGGCTTTGAAAAAAAATATCAAAAAAAATTAAAATTTGATATCAGATATCGATATAAAATAAACTTTCTCTCTCTCTCTTTCTCTCCCACTCCCACACCATCACCGTAATTTCCTCAATGATCCGGATAACAATTTTGAACTTTTTGCTTCCTTCAACTTCCGAAATTTATTTTATGAAAATTAAATTCACTTTGGTAAAATTTATCACCACAAAAAAAAATAAAAATAAAAACGGAATAAACTTTACGGAAAAAAAATGATGTCAGCAAAAATCATTATTGGTAAAGGATGCAGTAGGGAATACAACCACAACAACAATAAACAGAGAATTGAAACCGATCGTTATCGATTCATCGAACCCAAATGATGAGAGAAAAAAAATATAAACTTTTGATCTCTATCAATATAGAATATGTCTATGTTCAACTATCAAATTGATGGCACTATATTTCATTTTTTTCCCATTTGATGATCCAATTTCATTGATGGAATGCAAAAAAAAAAGAACAAAAAAAATTTCAATATTTCTACACATAAGAAAACATTTTAAAATTATCATATATAACCAAAATGATCAGAAATTATCGTCATGGCCATCATTTATTGATGATCAGATCATATGATCATCATTATTATCAATAATAGCAAAAGTTCATCAATAAAAAAAATTTTCAAGGTTTTAATCCACAAACACACACTTTCATTCATTCATTCAGTCAATCAATTTGTATTTTTTTTTCATGTATTTACTGTTGATATTTCACAATTTATTTCAATTGATGGAACAACTAAACAAACAAAAAGCGGAAATTTAAAATTGATTACGCACTGCCAAAGATTACAGTCCTATTAGTAAATGGCAATGTTTTCAAGATAAAAGAAAAAAGAAAGGGAAAAAACAATCAGAAAAAGGGCGCTGACAACATAAAGTGGTATTGTTCAGATTTTAAAACCCTCAAATTCACATTCAATCAAAAAAAAAATATGGGAAGGTTCGGCATTTATTCTCGAATGAAAATGAAAATAAATACAGTAAATCAAAAATGGGAAAAAAATTATTTGTCGTGATTGCACTATTGAATGGCAACTAACAAAAAAAAACACAATAGAAATGATAATGATGCATAAATCGTCCACTCACAGGGTATGATGTGTGTGTGGGGACATTGTAGTAGGCGTAGTAGACATTTTAATAGTTTGCCCGGTATGTAGTTTTTTTTTCATTCGTTTATTCGTTGTTGTGTTTGTTTGATTGCCGACATTTGGCGCCAACAATTATCATTACCATCATTATCGGAAAAAGTGAGCAAAAAGAAAAAAGCAAAAAGCAAAAAAAAAATTGCCACACACAATTTCATGAACCACATGTGCATGTGTAGTCAGTCAGTCAGTCATCATCAGCAAGTTTCTGTTGATTTTTTCCAGATATTTTCCGGTAAATGAATGTATAAATGTGTTGTATATATTTTTTTTTGTATGGCCCGTTTTTTTTCTCATGAAATTTTCATTCTATTTTTTTCCATCTTTTTCTTCTTCTTCACAATTTTGCAATGTTTTTTTGTTGTTGTTATTTGGAATTTTTTTCTCCCTCGAATAAAATAGATATCAACAACAACAACAACAACAACAACAATATTTGGACAATGAGAATGTAGAAATTTTTTTCTTTTTTTTTCGTTGTTTGGAAATAACCAGAAATTTTATTTCATATTTGTTTTTCTCTGTGAAGGAAATATGGCGAGAAAAAAATACCAACAAAATGGATGTGCGTGTGTTGATTCAAAATAAAAAAAAATTTAAGATGCATTTGAAATCACACAAATAATCTAATTGGTTTGTGGACCATCGACTAGGGGGAAAAAATAAGGAATTTTTCCATTCAAATTTCTGATAATAAAAGATTTTTTTACCGCTGATAATCAATCAATCAATTTATTTATTTATATATTCAATCAAAACGGGATTTTAAAAAAAACCAAATAAATTACCATGATAATAATGATTAGATTGCTGCTGCAATATTGCAATAATTAATGGTAATAATCAATCGAAAATTGCCATCGTTGATTATTGGGAAAAAAAATAAAAGATACAAATTTGGTAACAAAATTTCTTATTTCTCTGTTGAAAATCAAACGAATAAAAAAAACAAAAAAAAAATTTCACTTTACTTTACTTTTTCAATTTGACATTTTATTATTTAAACAATTTAAACAACACAATGACATCATTTCCAAGTACACGATTTTTGTTTTTGCAATTCTTTTCACACATTTTTTCTTTCTTTCATTGTTTTGTCTAATCTTATATTAATATAATTTGTTTATTTTGATTATTTGATTCATTACTTGTAACATTTTCGGATGTTGTAGTCGTTTTTTTTTCTCTCGTTATTCACAAATTATTTGATTATTTGTTTATATTTTGACAACATTATTTCAACACAATAACAACAACAACAACAACAAGTGTTTGCTGTGCTTTTGTTGTTGTTGGTCACAAGCTGTGTAATAATCATGTGAATGAATTGTTTCACACACACGCCCAAACTGACACAACTTGTAATTGAAAGAGAATTGTTTGAAAAATGAGAAATAAACGGAAAAAATTTTTACAGAATATATATTTCCCGGATGTTTGATACGAGAAATTCTTTTTTGTTTAGACAGAAAAAAAAACATTACCAAAAATGGCAAATACAGAATCTTTGTGTCTAAAATAACAAAATTTTCAGTCACAAATTATTTGATTATTTGTTTATATTTTGACAACATTATTTCAATTTTATCACACTATGCTTTTAATCTGTGTAATAATCATGTGAATGAATTGTTTCACACACACGCCCAAACTGACACAACTTGTGATTGAAAGAGAATTGTTTTGAAAATGAGAAATCATGACTCATAACATTTTTTGATTTTTATCAATCATAATTTTTGATTTATCAATCGATCACTAATTGACTTTTTTGATTTGATTTGATATTTGAAATGAAATGATGATGATGATGATGTAGATGTATGAATAAATTTGGAAAAAAGGGGTGGAATTGTTTGTTTGTTTCCACATTATCATCATCATCAAAATATAATTATTCATTATTACCAAAGTATGATGATGACGTCATGATGACGCCCCCTTTATTTTCTGAATGAATTATGATACAATATGTTGCAATGTGTGTGTGTGTTTGTGTAGGCGGGGAAACCAGGAAAGCAATATTTTTTTTTCTGGCGACGCTGCAATCCACAATAAATTCAGGATAACAGAAGAGTTTTCGTTCATTCTTCTTCTTCTTCTTTTACGATTTTTTTTCTGATGAAAACTAAAAACTGAGGAAAAAAAATGGCCACACACACACACACACACACACTGAGTGTGGCTTAGCTAAGTTACACAAACACAGAGACCGACACACAAGTTACGCGATCCTTGCAAGGTTTATAAATACAGCTGTAATCATTGTTCAAACAGTTCATTTGATTCAATTCAATTTGAATGTTGATCAATATTTTCTTGTCGATCAAATCGATCATTCAATAAATTATTGAATTTTTGTGACAAAAAAATAATAATCAATTTTTTCCATTTTCTCATAAACAAACAAACATAGAATCAATTAAAATTATTCTTGATCACTGTGTGTGTGTGTGTTACAATTTCGAATATTTACATATATTACATAATATATATAAAACTTGACCCGAATTATTGGATTGGCACCCAGAATAATAATAATAATAACAATAATAAAAAGAAGAACTAAATTATGAAAATATCAACATCTCAACAACAGCAAAAACAGTTTTCAATATTATCATCAATAATGTCACCAACATCATTATTTCATTATTCATCGATGGATAATCATCATCATTATTCATCATCATCATCAAATACGACGACAACCGCATCATCATCATCGTCATCATCATCATCAGTATCATCGCCATTTTCATCAACGAATCGTACAACACAAATGGCAATGGCTTTTCTATTATTATTGATCTGTGCACAGATTGTTACATCGGCACCAGCATATGATTATGACAGTAAGTTTGTTTTATTTTTTTTTTTTTTTTTTTTTTTTTGGTTGAAAAATTTGATGAAGAAAAAAAAATCTAAAATAATTTTATTAAGGAAAAAATTAAATTTTCTCATTTTTTTCATGATGATGATGATGATGAAGGTGATGAAGGAAATCATCTCTTATTGTTGTTGTTGTTGTTGTTGTTGTCATAATGGAATTATAAGCCTTACTTGTAAGAATGCGATATAGAATTTATTCATGCATAATATTCGTTCATCATCATGATCATGATCATCTGGATTTACTTATTCAATAGTTGATTATTTAATTATGAGAGAAAAAGAAAAAAATTTTTATTTTGTATCATCTCTCTCTCTCTCTGTGTGTGTGTGTGTGTTTGTTTACGCTCACAGCTTGTCATTCGCTCTGATTTTTATTCATTATTTAGTTTAACAATGGAATGCAATGATGATGTTAACCATAATCAAGAAGAATAAATTCAGAGCATTTTTTTTTCTAAATTCAATGAATTTGCTACTGACATACAGACAGACAGACGGGAAAAATTCAAAACTGATTTAATTCTGAATTTCACATGATTTTTACTTCATTCTTCAATCCTGATGATGATGATCAACATACAAAAAACTCACGGTTTATATATCGGCATAGTTTGAAGTTTACAAACTCAAATTGTAATAGTGAAGTGATGACATTCACATCAAATCAAATTTTAAATTTCTTTGGTATTTGTTAATGACCCCAGCCAACAGGAAATTGTCAAATTTATGGAAATTTTATTTCCTAGAAATTCTGTTGAATAATATAATGATGTTTGTTGATTTTCTCGTTTTTTTTTCTCTCGCAATCATCAACATCATAATCAACAAAAAAAAAAAAAAAAAAAAAATCATGGAAATCTAATCAACTTTTGGATTGTAGAATTTAATTATGTTACAAAAAAAAAAAAAAATTAAATCAATTTTTTTCCGTTGCTAGTCGAATATTGTTTGTTTGTTTTTTGTTGGCCATAAAAAAAATCGATACATTTCACCACAATCGGGTTAACATAACAACAACAACAACAACAAAAACAACCACACGAGAATGGAAACAATTTTTTTTCTAAAAAAAAAATTTAATTTCTTAATTTTATTCACTTCCGTCACACAAACCATCATCATCATCATCCCATGATCATCATGATTATTGATCATTTAGAAATGGCAACATTTTTTTTTCTTGAAAAAAAATTTGATCAATTTTCAAAATATTTTTTCAACAACAACAACAACAACAAAAAAAAAATTTCCATTGATATTCGATAACAATTTTTCTTATCGAATTACCAATGAATTCCTTTGTTGCCGTTGTCGTCGTCGTTGTTGTTATCGACGAAAAAAAAAATGAAAACTTGAATGTTTCTGTCAGTGATCAAATTTTCCAATTTTTCAATTTTCAATTCCAAAACTTTTTTCGATATTATTTTTCCAAAAAAAAAAAAAATAACAATAACAACATAACCACCATTCAATTGGCCAATTATTAGGTTGTATATATGTTTGAACGTCATCATCATCATCATCATCATCAAATATTTTGATGAATATAGACATGTATCATGAATATTCAAATAGCCAAATGGAAAACATACATACAGGATAATAACTTTTGAATCGATCTTAAATTGAAATTGAATTGAATTTTTCTCTAGTTTTTTTTTCACCACAGTTTGTGGTCCTTTTTACATTATTATCATTCGATTGCATTAATGTTATTGAATTTTTGATTTTTTTGATATCAAAAAAAAAAGCAAAAAACACACACACACACACCAACCTCTTGTCTGAATGAAAAACATTCAAAATGATTATTATTGTTATTATTATTATTATTACTAGAAACAGAGATAGGGAAAAAAAAAAAAAATTGATTCAATTGATGATAACATAACGACGACGATGATGATCAGACTTTTGACGTAAAATTACGTGCTTAATTCCATTGATGATAATGATGATTTTGACATTTTAAATTCCATTCCATTTACAATTCAATCTAATGATATTTTTACTTTATTTTTTAAAAAAAATAATTTAGAATTGCGTGATCTATACGAGATATTGTTACGACAAGAAAATCCAACACCATTTGTACATCAAATGGAACGTAAAGGTGGCCGTTCACCAACATTAAGGTAAACTAAACTAAACTGCACTAAACATCGTCTTTCGTCGAATGACGTGAAAAAAAAAATAAAATGATGAAATTTTCTTTAAACATAAATTGTCAATTTCAAACAAACAAAAAAATTAATAATCTATTTCCTTTTTTTCACTTTTTTTTTGCACAAGACTTCGATTTGGTCGTCGTTCTGATCCATTATGGAATGACAAGATGCCCAGAGGTTCCGGTAATAATAACAACAACAACAACAACATCAATAACAGTATTGATGAAGATTTGGAAAGAGTGCCATATAAATGAGAAAAAAAAACAAGTAAAACAAAATAAAAAATAAAAATGGAAACCATCATTCACAACCAAACAGCAAACTAACAACCCCCAGTAGCAGCAGTAAATATAATGACAACAACAATAACACAGTTAGCAATATGATTTTCGCAAAAATTTTGCAAAACAAAAAACAAAAAAGTGAGTGAATGGCATGATACATTGGACACATACATAAAACAAAAATGGTGAAGAAAAAAATTTCTTTCACACACACACACACATCACACATCACACACACCACACTGAACGCCCACCAATTTTAAAATTCATAATTTCATAAATCAATCATCATTATCACTATCACTATCACTATCGCTACTAGTCGTGTGTATTTGATGTTTTTTTATTTTGATTTTAATTTTTTTTTTTGTTTTTTAATTTGCTACAAATATATATGATGTTTGTGTGTTTCGTTCTGGTGTGTGAATGTTTTTTTTTCCATCAACAATCATCAATAATCACATCATTTTATTTATTTATATCAAACCAAACAAACAAACAAGATACATTCCATCATTATTCTATCTCATTACATATTAAATGTAACACACACACATGCAACAGTTGTTTTTATTACTGTTTGTATTTTGCATTTTTGGTTTTTTTTTGTTTGTTGTTCCCGTCAAAAAAAACAGGGAAAAAAAACCAAATCCAATCAAACAAAGCAAAACATAATGCCCACTTACTTATCAATCACACACACACACACACGTATCTATCGAAAGAAAAACAACAACAACAACAACAAAAGGTTTGGGTTCCTGATTATTATTATATATTGTGTTTCTCACTATCATCACATTGATTGATTGATTTATCGATAAATATAAACAACACATGCAAACATTTCCTATTTATTTATATCATTTACAATTAAACACATAAATGCTATTCCTATTGACTGTGTGTGAATTATATTTAATTTCATTAATTATGTCTCGTTTTTGTCTCACATTATCATCATTGATTTTTGTTGTTGTTGTTGTTGTTGTTGTTGGCGTTCCAAACCAAACCCAATCGATCAATCAAGTAATCAAACAATTGATTATATCAATTTTTGATTTGAAAAAGTTAAATTGAATTAAATTTTTCAAAATTTTCATAAAAAATTTTAAATATTTGTCAGACACACACACACACACACACAACGATCATTTAAATTAAAATTTTAATTTTAAAAAAAAAAAAAAGAATTCAAAACATTTCAATTCTTTGTTATTAATATCCAATCCAATAGATTGATTTATGATTAATTTTTCGATGACCATTTTCAATGACGATCTAAAAATGATGACGATCAGATGATGATTATATCCACGACACAAACCCATGCATACAAATAGACAAAAATTGATTGAAATAAATTTGACAAACGATAAAAAAAAATTGATTTTTTTTTCTTTTCATTTATTTTCATTATAAATTGAAATACAAATGATTATCATTTTTAATACAAAATCCTAAAACATTAGTATTAACCATAGTAATGACGCGTTGATGATCATGATGATGGTGGTGGTGGTGGTGATGATGATGATGAATGACATACACATCGATCGCGATATATTTTTGGGTGAGTGAAAAAAAACACCAACGATTCAAATAAAACAAAAGAAAAAATCGGATTTTTCGCCCACGTAATACTGATGTGCATTTGCTCAATTTAGTATCATGCACACACAGATGTGTGGGTATTTTTTTTGTAACAATATTTTTGAGAAAAATCTGTTTGGAAAATTGAAAAACATAAAAAAAAACAAATTCAATTAGAAAAATAAATTGAATCAAAAACAATAGTTGGTTAGGATGATGAAGGCAATATCATCATTAATAACCCCTTAAGAAATTGATTATTAATGATTTCAGAGAGAAGATTAGTCATAAGAATCAGGTTGCATAAACCAAAATATACGCAATCAATTTTTGAATTTCATTTTTCATCAATATCAAAATTGCCTTGATTCGTATAATGAAATTTTCAATGTTTTTTTTTTTTGTTGAACTTACCTCCACATATGGATTTCAATCGGTTTTTCAGATATTAACAATTCTTGCATTTGGATTTGTATTCGTTAACTGTGAATTCGATGGTGATGATGGTCCGGATGAATTTGAATGGCCGGCATTTGATACGGCATTCGATTGACGTGAATATTTATTCTGTAATTGTTTTTGTGATTCTTCCACTTTTTTCTGTAATGCAGCTCGTATTGCTAATAGTTCTTTGTTTCGTAATCGTATCTGATCAATGGATTGTGGTGAAATATTCATATTCCAACGACAAAAATAACTGGTCCATAATTCGATGAATGGTGCAGCACATCGTGGTACGATAACATAATCTTTAGTCGATGATACAGTCAATGCGATGGCATATGGTGTGGGTGCTGTTGTGTAGCATGCATTTAGGAATTCATCTCTATACGTATTCACCATTGACCATATGGATTTTGTTTTATTCAATATACCGTCACGTTTACGTGTCGATTCGGAATTGGCCAAAAATGTTCCGAATAAACATGAATACATATGATCGGCAATTACCAATAAAAGTGTTTCATTAAATTCAAAAGCGGTAGGAAATTGTCGTTGAATTTGCCATACACAATCTAACCATTGAAGAAAAACCGGTGAACGATTATCATCCGATGATTTATCTTCACCATGGCCAAGTCGTTGAGCGAATTTATGTCCAAAACTGAGCCATTCTTTTTCGATCAATACTTCAAAACCACGTAATGTTCGATAATATGGATCAAGCATCAACATGGCCAGACTAGTTAGCTGGGATGTTCTATCCCATCCATCACTACAATGTACGACAACCGATGTTTTTTGACATTCAATTTTATCGACAATTCTGACAGCACCGCTCAATATAATTTGTATATGTTTAAGCCATTGAGATTTTTCCAATTCAATCATAAATAATGAATCATCAATATTTCCGTAGCAAAGTTCGGTTAATTTTCGTAAACTTTCACGCATCGGATGAATCGAAGCAATACCAAGAAATTGTATCTCAGCATTATTATATAAATGTTCATTTTCAAGACCGCCACCACGGGTACGATTAGCCATTGCATTTGTCTGTGGTCTAGCATCCATAATAAATATTTTATGTGATTGAGCATTTGCATCCATTATCATTTGAATATATTTTTCATCATCCGTTGAACGTTGTCCACTAATACCTGTCAATGGTTGTGAACAACGTACAATACTTGCTTGTGATTCAGGATGTATCCAACTTAATACTGGTAATCGTGCACGACTACGAAATGCTGCAACAGCTTGTAGATCATTATCGGTAACATTATGTGGAACAACCAGAATGGCTGGATATGTATCGCATAGTTTATATTTATCATTAATTTTTGTTATACGCCATGATTCATTCGGTAAATTCATTCGTTTAAATTCAGCTAATGGTTCATATACAGACCAACCATCTACTGGATATGTAGCCTGAATAAAATTATTATCAAAATTCAATAAAAATACAAATCTTTCATCAATCAATGTTTCACTTACTTTGAATTCAAAACAAAACATTTTCTTATTCGATGAATAGGTCAATGGGAATGCATATTGACGAAGTTTTTCAAAAACATCACGTCGTGAATGATTTTCTGGACTATGTGCAAATTTTAACGTTCGTACATCTTTACAATGAACAATTATACCATAAGCATTGTTGCCTTTCGTTTGTGAACCACCAAATTTATCAATCTTTTTGATCGTGCCCAATGGTACATGTACCAATCTTGTTTTATTTGGTTCACGTTCATCATCATTTTTAAAATATAATTTATAATTGGTTAGATAAAGATGGCCTCGTATTTCACCTTCATATGGACAAATGTATGTTACTTCACGAGCATTAATTTCGGCATCAATTTTTTCACCGGGAAACAATGGTATATCATCTGGATTATCACTGGATAGACTAATTTCCAATACCGGACTTAACGGTGAATTTGTATAATTATCGTTTCGATTCATTTGATTAGATTCAAAAATAATGATTCGAAAATTTGATTAGGGTGGAGAAACGAATTAAAAACAATAAAAATTTTCATGAAACACAAAGTGAAGCAACATGTTCGATCACCAAATGAAAGCAAAATCAATCGATGGGAGTGTCATAAATACAAGCCGTACATAAAGGACGTATTTTTTTGAAAATAAAAAAATTTTTGTGAAATTCAATTTTCTTTAAAAAAAACAAAAATTTATCACAGCCAATAAATAATTATTATCGTATCATCAATATACTGTCATCATTATTATCATTATTCTGTTGTTTTAGATTTTCATTAGCCATTAATGATGATGATGATGATGATGTTTTGGCAAGATTACGAGCCATCTCTATTCGATTATCACAATCGATCCATGTGGGTAATTTTTGATTTAAATCAGGTAAATCCGATTGTCCTGGTAATTGTAAACTATCCGGATAGAATTTCAATGCATCGTCAAGCAGATCTTTTGTTACATCATCACGTTTGAATAGACGATTCAAACCATATGCCTATATGGGAAATATTTTTTTTTTAAATTGAAAATAAAATTTAAATGCTTACATGATCCAGATAATAAACTGCTTCGGAAAATTTATCCAACATACAATATACCAAACCAATCGATGAATATGTAGACGAATTATTTGGTGAAAGTGCAAGTGATTTTTTAAAAAATTCAATAGCATCATTATAACGACCTAATTTACGATTTATATGACCCATATTACTGAATAATGGTTCATATTGAATACGGATATCATCATCTTTGTTTTCAGTATATTTGAGCGCCCGTAAAGCATGTCGAAGATAACGATCAGCTTTTAGTAATCTAAAAAAGGAGAAAAGGTTGAAAATTAAAGTTTTCAAGCACACACACACACACACACAAACATAAAAATAATACAATAAAACTTACTCATCCGAATGAAATGCCGTAACTGAAAGTTCATGTAATACTAATGGATCTTCCGGTGCTTTTGTCAAAGCGGTACAGATAAATTTTTCACCCAATTTATGATTCTCTGTACGAGCATATTCAACACCAATATAAAGTAATGGCAGGTGACAACCGGGCATAAGATGTGATGCTCTAAAATATGTGGCCATCACTTGATCATGTTCATTATCATCGGAAAATGAATGACCATACAGCAGCCAAGCTGGTGCAAATATATTGTTCAATGTAACTGCTTTTTGTAGATAACGACGAGATACTGCTTTCTTTTTAATCAGATGATAATAACAGCCTAATGAATACCAAGATATTTCATGTTCCGGATATAAATCAATCAAATTTTGTGACAATTTGAATAATTCTAAATTTTTTTTTCAAATAAAATCATAACGGTCATTGACATATATGTCACAAGTCAAAACTAAACAAAAAAAAAAAAAACAATTTACCAATAGATCTTTCAAGGCTGAGCAAACATGAAATATGTATCTCAAGACATTCAAAATTATGTGGATCTTTTTCAATTAACCTGTCGAAAAAAATGAATGAATGAATTTTTAAAAAAAAAAAATAATAAAATTTAAAATTTCATAACACCATACTTGGATGTAATCTCCAATGCTTGTACTAGGTCAAAATTATAGAAATGTCGTTCGGCCTGTGCAATAAGAAAATCAAAATTTTCAGCAAACAATTGAAATGGTTTCCGTATAAATAAACGATCAGGTTTATCATATTTTTTCAATTGAATATAATAGAAAAATATCATAAAATCTGTCATAAAACTACTAATAAATCTTGAACGTTCTGAACGACTTTTCATTATTAATTTACAAAGAATATCTAATTCTTCGATTTTCGTTGCCATATGATGATGTGTAATACGATAGAATGCTTCATAGCAAAGAAAATTCTGTTCCAATGCTTTTATTAATGATTGTCGTGCATCGATACGATTATCCAAACATTCATATGCATCACTTCGCAATACAAGCAATGGTACACGCCATTTAATATCATTTAGTAATCGTGTTTTCAAACATGAATCAATAATGGTGAGAGCTTTTTTATAATTTTTGATTTTCATCTATTATAATCAAAAAAGTAAACAAATGATGATGATCAAAAAAAAAGGTTAAAAAGTTATATAACAATAACAAAGAATGATGATTATTTACCAAACATTTGACTAGTAAACAACAGCATTTTACATCCATTTCATGTAGATTATTATGTTGTATAAGATGTGCAGCACGTTGATATTGTTTCGATAGATAAATACAATGTACCAATATGAATCCATCATTTATATTCATTCCATTAATGGCTATGATTTTATCCGAAAGAAATATGGCCGATTCATATTGTAATCTTTGAATTAATCTATCCCTTTCTAAACGAAGTATATGGATCAAATGTTCATTATCATTATCCAAAGAAACATAGCTTGGTGGACATGTTTTCTGTCGTTGTTGACTTGTTGAATTGATGAATAAACTTTTCATTATTATTATTATTATTATTATTGTTGGTTGATTGTTTAATTTAGTTAACGTTTTTTTTACAAGATTTATTTTCAAACACCAAATAAAAGAAAAAATTCAACCACCGTTCAATGAAAAAATGTTTGACTCGCGCGTGATACAAAAAAAAAATTCTGATTTCTCACACCCGTACGAAGAGTACGTAAACGAATTTTTTTTTTAATTTCAATTTTTTTATGCAAAAATTTTGTCAAATTTTTACATTGATTTTTCAATGGCGATGGCCATTGACAAAAATGCATGATTGGCAATGAAATGAACCTTGCTTGCTTGTTTTTTTAATGATCACCAATGATGATGATGATCGTTGACCACGATAACACAATCAAATTGAATGGAATCGAATAAATTATCATCATTAATGATCGACAAAGTTTTTATTTTTGTCAATGGACATTGAATTCAATAAATTAAATGATGGCCATCCGTCCATTTTTTTCATTTTTCAATCAAAAAAAAAACTTGATAATAATGTAATGATAACATTTTAAATCATAAAAATTAAAGCCTTTTTTTCAATAATTATCGATAAAAATGAAAATGTTACACAAGAATCTTCTGAAATGAAAACTAAAATCATAACACCATTGCAACAACTCAATGTTGTTGTTGTTGTTTCAATTTCAGAATTCAACTTGTTTTTGTTTTGTATATATGGTCTGCCATGAAAAAAAACTGTACATAAACAAAACAAATGAAAATGAAAACTTTCTCTTTCTCATTATTGGCCTCGACCATTGAATCTTTTAAACAACTTGTTCATAATGTTGCTGTTCAATAGACTTGTTCTCTCTCTTCAATAGATTAGATTTTGTTATAATGGAACAAAAAAAAATAGAAGAAAGGCAATGCTTTTTTTCAGGTAAATAATTTCCGAATTGTTTTGTTGTGTATTACATATTTTTCTATAATAATAAAATGAAAAATGATTCGAATTTCAGATCATTATTCATTATCCACAAGCCAAACAGCAAACATTGATTGTATGAACATTTCAATGTTTGTGGTTGTATACAACACATTCGAAATTTTCAGATCATTTGTTGATGAACATCTCACACACACACATGTACACGAAAAAAAACATAATCATCATCACAATTAAAATTTGTTTATTTTTTTATGATTCAAATCCATGCACAACACACACACACATTCGATGTACGTGAGATAGATAATTAGAGTGTTTTCGTGAAATATCGTCCATATCAACAGCAACTATCATCATCATCATCATCATTATCGTTTTGTTATTATTGCCATTCGTGAATCGTTCGATCAAAATTTCAATCCAATATAGAGATTATTACAACAACAACAAAAAAAAATATTAAAATTTTCCACTGTCGTTTAGTAATCATCATCGATTTTTTGTTTTTGGTTTCATCAATCGATTGGAGAATACAAGTGAAGAAAAAATAACCAAAAGAAAAAAGATGGCTAATTTTAAATCAATAATTTTGATTCTTTCCATAATTACGGTGATTGAAGAAATTTGTCAAGCATGGCCAAGTGGTGCACCGGAAAAAACTTGTCCAACATTATTACCACGACATGGTGGTACACCGGCAAAAGAAGCCAATGAATCACCATATATGATGGAACAATCAAATTCACAATATAGACCTGGTGATCAGATTAAAGGTATGTGTCATTATTATCATCATTGAATCGAAAACATGAAAATTGATTCGATTTCTTTTCCTTTCACCACTATCCATCTTTAGTTGTATTGAAATCACCGACCAATATACCATTCAAAGGACTAATCGTTCAAGCATTGGATCCGGAAACGGGCAAACGTATTTATTTTGAAATTTTTATTTTGAAATGTTTTTTTTTATATCTCATTTTTTTTCTATTTTATTTAGCTATTGGCAATTTTTCCCAAGGAATTGGCCTAAAATTGATTGATAGCTGTTCGGCTGTCACACATTCGGACAACAGGTTAGTCTGTGATTGAATGTTTTGTTTCGTTTCATTTCATTTTCAAAAAAAAAAATTGAAATCCAAAATTGAAATCAAATTTCAAAATATTGATCCTTGTAATATATCCTGAATATCCTTGAATGAATGAATGAATGAATAATGTTTCTTTTATCAATTTTAATATTAAAAACCTTGAAATTTTTTTTTTTTTTCATCTTGAAAATAGAAATAAAAAAGCAGCTATTTTGGTTTGGAATGCACCACGTTCTGGTACAGCAGGCGGTGGTGGTGGTGGTGGTGGCCATGTTGTATTCCGTGGTACAGTCGTACGAAAATATGATACATTTTTCAAAGGTCTTATATCGTTGGTTAATCCACATGTTTGAAGACAATGAATTACAACATTATCATCATCATTATCATTGGATTTGAAATTCATCTGATTTTTTTTGCAAAACAAACACACACACCTACACACATATAATCCTTTTGCACAAATTATCTCAGACCATTTATAATTTTCTGAAACATGAATACATGTGTGTGTGTGTGTGTTTGTTGTTGTGATGTATTCATATATGAACAATCCGAATAGAAAAACAAGGTTAAATAATTTCCCATGTGATGTTCATTGTTCTAAGAAAAACCAAGGAAAAAAAACGTCGCCATCACCAACAATTGACCACAGAAAAAAAACAATGACATAATTATACAGCATCTAAACGATACAATTAACCATCTAACGTCCACAACACACACACACACACACCTAGAACGTATTCAATTCAATCCATTATCAAACAAAACAAACAGAAAAATCATTCATTCATAACAGTCGAATTTGATATCGATATAACTGAAAATAATTTCCAAGGTTTCAAAAAAAATAGATTCAAACAAATAGCAGATTTTTTTTTTACTAAAAAAACTTTTTCAAACTAATTCATTTTTATTATCATCATCATTATTATCAATTCGAATTATTAATTATGAATAAATTTTTTCAATGTTTGTTGTAAACAATTTTGTAATTATAATTTTTTTTTCTCATATTAATCTTCATTACATTACAGGTGTCATTTTTCTGTCTGTTGTTTCCCAGAAATATTTTGTTGCTGTTGTTGTAGAAAATGTTTATGATTGAGAAAAGGTGTGTATTTATGTGGTGTGTGTGTGTGTGTGTTCGTAGGGGTATATAGATGTTATAATTGATTTTTTTCACTATTACCGAATTAGCTTAGAAAGCAAACAATAATAGGAAAGCCATCATAAGACAGAAAAGACCCATAGCTTCGGATAAGGCGAAACCCAAAATGGCATATGAGAAAAGTTGTTGTTTGAGCGATGGATTTCTAGCATAACCAACGACTAAACCACCGAATACGGAACCAATACCGGCACCTGAACCTGCAACACCAACTGTAGCGGCACCAGCACCGATAAATTTGGCAGCTGAATCAATATCTCGTCGTACCAATGATGTATGCAAACCACGACTTGGAATCATTGATGATGATGTATTCAATTTTTCATTCATTTGTTGTTGTACACCACCGGACATGCAACGAACACTTGATCTGCCCAAAAGCTAATTTGAAGAAAGATAAAAAACAAAAAGGTTACAAATACAATAATAAAGGACAAAAAGGTCATTGATACTATGAGTGTGTATGTACAACAATACCATTGATCGAATGATGTGGTTTGATACACGAGTCGATTGAAGGTAAGCCATTTTATTTATCGGTATCTAAATATTGAAAACAAAAATTAAATTAAAAATTTGATCAAATGAACATGTGGTTTTAGGAAAGAGATCATATGAAAAGAAAAACAGAAATCAAATCAAATCAAAAACGAAAACGGAAAAATTTCTAAAAATGACCCTATCTAAAATGGCAACAACAAAGTAACACTTGTCCTCATTATCCCGATGGATCAATTGTAGAAAAAACAATCAAATAATTAAAGAATATAATTACATTTGGAACGGATGGATAAAACCAAACGATGAAAAAAAAATTCGGTAATTAATAATTTGAAGACAACGTGCACACTGAACGACGGCTTGTGGCTTATTTAGCAATGATGCTTTTTTTTTGTTAACAAAAAAAAACTTGGTTCTTTGCTTAGAGGGCAAAAGGGAAGATGAAGGAGAACTCGTCGCTGTTTAGCTGGTGCTGGTTATATGTGTGACTATCGTCGTCTCAACTAATATTTATTCGATGATGCTGTTGATGATGAGCATGCGTCACCTTTTACACATTAATCAATACAATCGTTCATTGATGCCGTTCATATAAAATGTTACATATATAATTTTTATTTTGGTTTTTCATTTTGAATTTTTAAAATTTAGTTTTTTTTTCGCTCTTTAGTTAATCAAATTGTGTGTGTGTGTGTGTGTGTGTGTGCGTATGTCTAATCTTTATGATCGATAATGATGAATGTTCAAACCAGTGTGCAGAACAAAAAGTTCATATATTTAGAGAGCTTAATCGTTTAATCAAAGTAAAAAATTTCAAATTCAAAAAATCAACCCGGTATATTTGGTTATCATTTGAATAAAAAATAATTGAAAATTTATTTCAATTCATTCTAATCTGATTATATTGAATATCATTGTTATATCTAAAAAAAAAATTTAATCAATTAAACATCAGCATTGATCACTAAATTCTGAAATGCCGGCATTTTTGAATTTTTTTCGAAAATCTCGAAAAGTTGTATTTGGAGCATGCGTAATATATCGAACACCTGTACTTTTTTTTTACCACTACTACTACTACATAATTTTTCTTTTTTGATGAGTGGAATGAATGAACGCTAAAAGAAAAATTCGATTTTTTTTAGTATGCATTGAAAAAAAGGCCACCAACCAACCAACCAACCAATGACGAGATATATCATCATCATGAAGCTTTGACGCGTTGTTTCGAGAATCGAATTTTGTTTTTTGCGATAACGTCGTTACCCGTCCCCATTGAACTGGTTTTATATTTTCTGTTTTTCCTATATCTTTTTTTTCCTTTTTTCTTCCCCATCATCATCATCATCATATTCTTCAGAATAGCGGCGCTCTATACACACTAGATATGTGCGAGTTATATATGATTATATGAAAAGGAAAAATAATTTTTTGGTTAGGTGTCACTACTATAGTTAATTTTGTCTATTCGTCGTTAATTTCTATATATTGATAGTTTCTCTCCCGCTTCTTCGTGTGAACATCTAAAAAACGAAAACAAAAATCAAAATCGAAATCCGTTTGGTAATTTGAATTTTGTTCATTTGACCAATAAACAACGACGAAGATAATTATCTTGCTGAAACTTATTATAAATCGATTCATTATAAATCCATATCAATCTCGAAATTTTGTGGTAAATTTGAACCAAACTAATAGCGGCTTTTTCTGATTGATCACAGGTTTGAATGAACAATTTTAAATTTTTCTTTTGTTTTCTACTTTAAAGCTGTATATATATTTTGTTAGTAGATCAATCAAATCAATTGGTGGATTGTCATTAGAGAATTTGATTTTATTTCGAAATTCATCAAGTTTACATATGTCGAATTCAATCAAAATTTTCAAAATCAACAACAAATAAATACGAATCCAATCTGATTATCGAAATCCATTTCATATCATCATGATTTAAATGAAAACAAAATAAATGACCAAATCAAATTCGATTAATTGAAAAGAAGATAAAAAACCATTAGAAATATTAGACTACTACTGATTGATATATCAACTGAAGTATACAACAACTATTTATCTATTGAATTTGATACGATTATCAATCAATCAATCAAACAACAACAACAATAATAATAATCATACAATATGTGAGAAGATAGGGCACAACAATACCGATAAGCCCCAGTAAAACGTGAAAGAATTAATTTAACAACAAAAAATTTTCCCATTAAATTGCATTGTACAACAGCAGCGATTATTACGTCGTTATTTCTATTTCTCTCTCTCCTCTCTCTCTCTGCGTTTGTTCATTATTTATCTAAAAATATAATACCTCAAACAACAACAACAACAGAAGCATCAATCATTCATCGTAGCCGCAATAATTGTATGTGTGTGTGTGTGTTTGTATAATTCCAATTTTAGCAATACAAAAGTATATTACTGCTATTGCGGCATATTCCGTGTGTGTGTGTGTGTGTGTATGCAATACGGATGCGACAAGATATTTTTGTTTTGAAAAATTTTGAAATTTAATCGATAGTTTGTGTAAAAAAAAATCCATGTCTATTTTTCAATCAAATAATCATCATCATAATATAATGGCCGTATTCTTGACGAATATTTGTGCATTTGATTCTTGTGGTAAAAAATTTGCATCATTACCCGAATTAATAAAACATATTGAAGAACATCATATAGGTTTGTTTCACTATTTTTTTTATTGTTTGTTATCGTTGAGGAAATGTTTTAATTATTTTTTCTCTTATTTTCTTCCTCATTTTCCTTTATTATATGTGCATTGTAAATGATTTTTTTGTTTGTCTCATTTTTATAGATGTTGAAGCATATGATAATGCCCCGACAAAACCATCATATAATAATTGTATGCCGGTCAGTTGTGTTTTGAGGTAAGTAATATAATAATTTATTTAAAACTATTCAATTGAATTGGTAATCAATGTTTTTTTACATTTTATCTTTAGAATGTTTTCCGATAGAAACGATGATAGTGATCAAAATTCTGGGATGGCTGTCGATTCGAATGGGATGAATGATTCTCATCACAATAATAATAATAATCATAATTATAATGGCCATCATCATCATGTACGAAAATCAATCAATTCACCGGCTGCATCATTAAGTACAACACCGACAGGTAACCGATGCATTATAAAATGATGATGAAATTTAATCTCTTTTTTTGTTTGTCTCAGAAGGTAGTGAACTTGATGATGATGCTGGATTCGAAAGTGATTCAGGCCAAAGTTCAATCGATTCATGGGCAAATGTTGATACATCCAACACCAATGCTTTGACTAAGTAATTGTCTCTTTTTTTATTTGTAAAAAAAATTTAATTAATACTATACTGTGACCCAAATCATTTATAAAAACAAAACAACAACAATATACAAAGATTTCATCAAATCATGGGCTCAAATGTATCATCACCTACAGTTGAACAAACAACAAATGTTGGCGGCATTTTGCAGAATGGAACAACAATGATCGGAAATGGACAAATGGCAACAAATTCATCGAAAATGATGATGAATAGTGGTGGTGGAAAAAATGTCGATGAAAAACGTCTTTATTATTGTAATGTAGTAGGTTGTAACAAACAATATCGTACATCGAACAGTTTAAGTCATCATCGACGATCAGCGCATATTAATAAAGATAATAATAAGATTTCATTGGTAATGGGTGGCCACAACAACAACAACGGTGGAGGTTGTCAAAATAATGGCCCATCAAATGGTCATCCAATGACACCGAAAACTCCTACTATAAAACCAATGTTGGATGAAAAGTAAGGAATCGATGTGATTTTTCTCATAATTCATCTTGATTCTAAAAATATTTGTATTTTCAAATATCTAGTAATAAGAAAGTCTACCGTTGCATTTGTGGAAAAGTTTATAAAACTAGTCATGGACTTAAAAGCCATCTGAATACACATCATCATCCGGATAGTATTCATCAATATGTACAAAATTATCAGCAACAACAACCACAGGATATTGAAATGACATCAATCATACATCAAAAACCGGACACATTTGCAGAAATAAATTCCACAACATCATCATCATCATCATCGATGACAAATAATGGTGGTAATGGTGTACATTTATCATCAATTAAAGCGGAATTATTATCGCCAACAATTACGAATCTGTCATCATCATCATCATCGCTACAATCGAATAAAATGATCAATATTGGACATAATACTACTACTGTACATTTTAACCAAAATGATTTGATACCAGATCAAAGTTGTCCACCTGTGTCGGTTAATGTCGAAGTAACAAGTGAACCAAAACAGACAAATTTTTTATCCAAAAATTCAAGTCCACCAATAATATCAGCACCAACATTGCAACAACATTTACTTAGTCCAGTAATACCGAAAGTTATTAATTGATTATTATCATATAATATCATTATATCATCATTCATTAGATATAATAATCATATATATGTATGTATGTGTTTGTTTATAAGTGTATATTTATATTGGTTTTTATATGTGTGCAACAAAAGAATAACAACAACAACAACAACAAAAAACTGTGAATCCTAATCACATAATTAATATATTCGGGTATACAATAATAATATTCACAACAAGATTCTTAAATAATATAATATATAATAATAGGTATTACTCAAGACATTCAAAATCTTGGTTTTCTTTTTGTCTTTATTGTCACATACACACACACACACACACACACATTATATGTAACCAAAATAGTAAACATCATCATCATTTTCATTTGTCGCAAGCTTTCTTTTTGTTGCTGTGATAAATATATATAATAATAATAATATAATTGATGTGAATATTGAAAATTTATACCATATACGATATGATTTAATTAATACCTAAAATAAACCTAAAAAAAATAGAGTATTAAAAATTTGCTTTGATTTAACAAATTAAAAATTGTTCAACAATTAAAATGATTGTAAAATTGATTTGATGGCTTTAGGCATTTTATAAAAAAAATATAATTTCAACAAACATCGAAAAAAAAATGAAAGGAAATTGATTGCCACCCAGGAAATGGCCATTGGCTGGCTGCTAATTTTTTTTTTTTTTTTTTTGCTGTTGTCGATTTTTTTCCGATGATAACTAACAAACAACACAGGCACCATTTGGAAAAAGAATCGTCACTTTTAATACATTGCAAATAAAAATGTATATAGAGAATCGAATCTTCTTTTTTTTTGGTTGTAAATGTCAGGATCTTGCGCGCTTTGACATTTCCTTTTGGCTTTCGTTGTGTTTGTGTATTTGGAAGCTACCTTATATTCAATGAATCGATCAAATGCAGCGATAGTTATATTTAGTTAAAAAAAAAAATATTCATTCGGAACAAAAACACTGTTTAGCCTTGTTGGCATTTTGTTGTTTTCATCATCATTCTCTCGTTTCAAAAAAAAAAAAAAAAAAAAAAATACAAAATTGGACTTCATTCTGTTATATAATTACAAATGATTCGGTCGTTGTTCATTGTTCTGGCCACATAGAATATTCTTTGGAATAATTTTTTGGGAATATAAAATTAGATTACCCAAAAAACAACAACAACAACAACAAAACAAAATGTGCGGCGGATTTACCTGTACAAAGAATGCTCTTAAAGCACTCAATTTACTTTATATTGTAAGTAATCATGATTCTTATTGGAGTATTTTTTTTTCATCACCAATCCATTGAAAGGTTGTATCGTTCATATTGATTGCCGTTGCAACCTATGGTAAAACAATTGTCCAGATTACGGATATTTCAATCATTGAAGCTATTTTTGCTTGTGGTGTATTTCTATTCATGTTATCGATGTTAGGACTTGTTGGTACGGCTAAACATAATCAGGTTATGCTATTTTTTGTAAGTATTAGATACTTTTCTATATCATTGATTTTTAATTCTTTACTTTACCAATCATTTTAGTATATGGTGATTTTATTCATATTATTTGTGGCACAATTCAGTATAGCATGTGCATGTTTAGCATTCAATACGAATGAACAACGTGAATTAGCTGGAAAAGAATGGCAATCATCAACAGTGGAAAATCATCAACAATTACAACGTATATTTGATTGTTGTGGATTTCAATCGGGTGATCCAAAAAATTCTGAACATTGTCCTGAGGTACGTTGCTGTCAAACAAATGATTGTCAACAATGTTCAGATTGTGAAATGAAAATACAACAAGCAATTGGTGATGTATTACAAGTTGCCGGCTGGACCAGTATGTTTTTCAGTTTTACCGAATTCATTGGTGTTTGGTTAACCATACGATATCGTAATCAAAAAAATCCACGTGCCGATCCAAATGTTTTTCTTTGAAATATTTGGAAAAAAAATGAAAATAAAATTAATTGGATGAGTTGAACAAAACAAAACAACAAAAAAAACACGTGCACAATCTAATATAATCTTTGATAATTTCCAATATATTTATTTGGCTAATTTGGATCACAAGGTGCGAAAAGAGAACAAAAATTTTCATTTTCTTTTTTTTTAAAATTGTTCAATTATTTTTGTGTCTAAAATATATTGCGAACATGCACACACACACAAACACGCACACACATACAAAAACAAAAAAAATAAAATAAAATAATTGATATGATGATTAATTTTAAGGGTGATTTGTTATTCAAAAGTTTTGGAATTTTTATATCGTCAATTTAGATTTTGTTTCCTGATTCTTATGGATGAAGTGATTTTTCCGGATCATCCGTGTTCACATCTCTCCAATATGGATATTGCATTGATTGATCTGTGAATGGTTTACCGGTGATACGAACAACACGTTCCATTATTAATGGCAATAGATTATCATAAAGTAATTGGCCACCATCACGTGATAGATGTAAACCATCGTTGAATAATTTATCATTATCATTCTTGACGGCCATGAATACCGTGTATAGATCTAATAATGATAAATTCATTTCTGTTGCAATCGATCGACAAGCATCAACATATTTGACCAAATCTTTTTCCCATGTTTCCGGTATGATCGGACGATTCTGTTCGATTGACCAACGTTTAAATGAATCTTGATGCATATTTGGTGGAGCAATCAGTATGATTTTATTTTTATCAATACCGATTGATGTTAGAAAATTTATCATTGCCACCATATTGGTACGATATTCATCGACGGGTACATGTTGCCCGGTAACACTTGAAACGGGTACCGAATCATTAGATCCAAGTAAAATTGTTACACAGGCAATCTCTTCCGCTTTGAATTGTTGAAATATTTTTGGCATTATTATTCGACACCATCGGGTATTGTAACCGGAAAAGCCTCGTGGTATTATGTCGCAAACTCTTTTGTTCAATCAATCATTCAAATTATATGAAAAAAAATAGAAAACAACAAACAAACCTTTGAAATTTATTGGCCAATAATGCACCCCAACATCCATTGTTTGGATCAAAACTTCGTTGGGTATGTGAATCACCAAATAGAATAATTTTAGGCCACATTTTAAGGGTGTGTTTGATCATTTGGCAGTGTGAAAAAAATCACACAATCAAGGGCATCTTACAATGATATCCGTGATGAGACAAGTGTCCACACATCGAATAAATTGTATAGCCCCATAGGTGGCACTAGAGTAGTGAAGAAGCTTCAAAATTCCAAAATTATGAAGATTTTTTTTATTAATTTTTTTAAGAAAAATTAAATTTACAAATTGATGATGATGATGATTTTATCTAACAATGAATTGATTAACACAAATCATAAACTAATGGTGGATTTAATCATCACAATCGTTTTCAAATTGACCATCGTTTATGGTTTCAGATTGATCCAGATCATTCGTAATGATTTCAACTTCCATTTGATCACTGGAAATAGTTGTCGCTTCTGCATTAGATTTTTTATCAATCGTTCGTTTAGATTTAAGCCGTTGTTTTTCGTCCACATAAGTTCTATGCCAACTAATCAGTTTCGGTATTAGATGATCGAAACCATAAAATGAAATAGCGCTTAATACATCCTGTGGATGAACGGTTCGTCGATTATTTCCTATGGCCATTTCGCTTGCACGTGTTGTAGAATAAAGAATGAAAAGATGTGCTGCACGTGCTAATGCTTTGATGAAATCCTGTTCGACCGTTACTGAGAAAATGGAAGAGTTTAATTAACAACAAATTCTTTCAGATTTTAACAAAAAGAGAATACCTGTAGATTCCTCGGGTAATGATTCGGCTATGATTTTGGTCACCACATTCAATGGTATGGTGAAATCTGAATTGCCAGCCATTTATAAATCGACAAATGTTTTGGTCAGAAAAAAAAGAAATCAATCAATTGTTTTGCCAAATTATTTTGTTATCCAAAAAATCGGCTCAAAAGAACGCATGCGAAATCAACAATCGATTTTAGAAATTGTTGAAAATCGATGAATTCGTTCTTTACATGTGTGTGTATGAAAAGTGAAGGGCATAATCCAAAACTCATCAGTTTTGTTTTACTCGTTTGATTTTGTTTTTTTCTTTTTTTTCGAGACAAATTCATTTTTTCAAACAAAACAATTTCAAAATGATGTCATTTGGAGCTTCAAGATTATTGTCCCGTTTACGTATAGTTCGTGCGAGCCGACGAAACATGTCCAGTCATGATGTACCAGAACAATATCGTCATTGGGTTCGACCAAATATGGATAATGGTTATCCTGTACCGAGTCAACTTTATTCGGAAGCCTATGCTGCTCGACAAGCTAAATACAATAAAATGCTTGGATTATCTGTATTGTTTTTGCTTTCAGCCATGGGTTTTTGTTCAATGAATGGTACATTCGAATTTTTGTCACCACCACCACGTAAAGTTAATATTCCATTGGATAAACTTCAATGATTGGATATTCGAAATGTGGCCGATCATCGATCACATGATCACATTAGTTTCAAATTGTGTATAATTATTGAATGAAAACAAAAATATTGTTGTTTAGTGAAAAAATCATCATTTATAATGAAAAAGCTGATGATAAAATAAAATCGGATAAAAATTATTTTTCATTTATTATTTTCATTTCAACAACAGAAAAAAAAATATAAAATTATTTTTATCTTTAAAAAAAATTTGAAATCTTTTCCCCAAAATTGGTCAATAATAAGCAAAATGGATGAACAAAACAAACAAATGATGATAAAATGATAATCAATTGCAATCTTTGTGTCGTAATAATTCGGTTTTAAGAAAGGTAACTTCATTATATAATGAATCGATAATTTTCTAAAATTTCGAAAAAAAATTGATTAATTTTTGTTTTTAAATTTTTAAATTATTCAATTCAGCTGCTTACTTTTAATTGTTGATTTTGTTGTTCATATTTTTCCACACGATTCTTTAGTTCATCAATTTCTTTCTTTTTTTTCAATCGACAACGCATTGCAGCGGCACGATTACGTTCAAGTGATAAACGTTTCTTTTCTTTTGTATCTTCTTCGGCTGCGGATTTACTTTTACGGCCAGGTTTAGCACGTGGTGGTAATGCAGCTTCAGTTGCTTTAATCTTATCAATCAATTCATCCATTGTTTTCTCTTTTCTTCGTGGTGGTGGAAGACGAGAAGATAAATGTTTTGATACCATAATATCCGTACTATTTCCACTTGCCGTTGATGATGATGATGATGATAAATTACTATTAGAATTTGAATCAATGGATGGATTGTTTTGTTTGGGTAAAATTTTCACATAATTTGTTTTTGTCGTTGTTGTTGTTATTGTTGATGGACATGATGATTGTGTAATGATTGATGATGGAAATGTTGAGGTAAAATTAAAATTATTATCATCATCAGTATTGGTTACCATCTTTTGATTCGATTGAATAGAATCAATTAGAGAATCTGTGGATAATGATTGTTGTTGTTGTTGTTGTTGGATTGATTGGGATGATGGTATGGGAGGAGGCAATAATTGTTTTTCCGTAATATGATGATGAGGTATAATGTTGGTTGTTTGGGTTGTTGAAGCTTTGGCGGCAGGAAAATCATTAAAAATTTCTGTAGCTGGTAATGGTCGTTTACGTTTTTTATTCATCAGCTGCTGTATTGAATCATCATCATCATCATCATCATCATTTTGGTTCGATATTCCATTTGAACAATCATCGATATTATTGGCACTTTCAAGTATCACCGGCGCTGATCGAATTTTTTCTGATCCACGATCTTTATATGGTGGTGGACATATAACCGAAACGGCATTTGATCTTTGTTTATAACGCTGTACATCGTTCAAGGTATCGTTTGTTTTATTGTCCACAATTGAATGATTATTATTCAATGATGGCGATGTTGATAATGGTGTTTCATGTAAAATTTGATGGCAGCAATTTGATTCTGTTTCTTTACAATGACTATCATTGTTATTTGTATTTGTATTATTATTATTATTCACATCATCAACAATTTCACTTTCCAATATTAATGTTGTTATCTGTGCTGTTGTAATTGTTGTTGATGTTGGATCACCACCACCAACATTACCAAGATCTGAACCAATTGCCGGATTGAATGCTGTATCCGGTTGTATCAGCGGTGTATTCAATGGTGATGAACAACATATTGATGATGGATATATATATTATTATTATTATTATTATTTTCATTAGATGACGATGAAAATGTTGTTGTCGACGACGTTGTAGATTGTTGTTGTTGTGAATGATGGATACGATTTTTCAATGCTAATTCAAATTGTCGATCAAATGGATTTTTATGGCCATTCAGATAGACAATGTTTGAATTATAGGAATTTGGTGCCAAATTCATGATGATGATGGATGAACAATGGTTGCTGCTTCTGCTGTAGAAAATAAATTGAAAAACAAAAAAAAATTTTTAGAAAATCAAATACAAAATAATGATGACATTTCAAAAAAAAAAACAACAACAAATACAATAAATTAAGATAAAATTGAAAATAAAAAATTTTAAAAATTTAAATTTCCGGTGAATTTACGTAAATTGAACAACAACAATGATAACTCACCAAAAAAAAAAAAAAAATTTTTTTTTGTTGATGACCAAAAACGCAAGAAGAATGTTATGAATTAGATTCTTCTTCGTTTATCGTTTATCGTTATCTTTTTCTTTTTGTCGATTGAATTAGCAATCAATCAATAGAAGACAAATTGATTATTAAAAAAAAAAAATAAATTTTCGACAATCATCTGATCAGAAATATTTTTTTTTTGTTGTATAGTGCCAAATATTATTTCGAATGAAAACAACAACAATGATGATAGTGATTTTTTTTGCAAAAAAAAATTTCGAATGACGACAACAGGAACCGACAAAAAATGATGATGATGATGATGATTTATCAATTAAATAAATAAATCAATCATTCAATTCAATTCGATTGAATTGACAAAGCAAACAACCAAAAAAAACAATCTGGCCAATAATAATTATGACCAGAAAAAAACGATTTTTTTTCTCGATAAAAAAAACTATACTAATGATGATCCGAGAATGTCGAGAAAAAAAAAGATGATTTGGTTTCGATGGAAATTAACAACAACAACAACAACAACAACAACAAAAGCGATGTGTGAGATTTAAGAGTTTTTGATGATTAAAGAAATAAAAAAAGACTTGCATCATTCGATTATGATAATCATTTGATTATCATCATCATCATCATCATCAACACCAGCGTCACCAGCGTCACCACCATCACCATTAGTATAGAAAAAAAATTCACCATCGTAATTATCATTAGAAAAAAAAAATTTATTCATTAAAAAACAAACATGGAAACCAGATTTATCTCAATGAATGAATGATGATGATGCAAGTATATAATATAAAAAAAAATAAGGAGAATGTGCTTATGAGATTGATATTATTATTATTGGAAACACACGGAAAATTTTCACTTGTGTGTTGTCGCTGTTGTTGTTGCTAACTTTCACAATTCTCTTACTCTTTTACCATCATGCACACACACACACACACACAGACATTCTGGATTCAATATATTTACACAGTGCACTTTCTATCATCATTGCCTCTGCCTATGTGTGTGTGTGTGTGTGTGCATGTTTTGCAACAACAACAAAATCTAAATTTGCTCATTTTTTTTTTTTTTTTTTTTTTTTTTTGATGATAAAATGAAACATTTTTTTTTAATTCCATTCAAATATCATACTCTTGTGAATGATATATGTATGCGATTGATTAAAAATTTTGTCTTTTTTTTTCTTTTAAATGAAAACAAAATATTCTGAATGTTTCGGAAAATTTTTTTTTTTCTCAATCGATCAATAAATTAATTTTTTGACGACTGTTGCGCGTTTATCAAAGAGAAAGAAAAAATCTTAATTCACACACACACAAAAGATTATGTGGCATTGATATTTTGACATTGAAAATTACCATCGAAACAAAAAAAAATTGATGATGATTGTAACGATAGGCAACCAAAATATTCATGTATTATATTGAAAAAATCAACTTAAATCATAAAACAAAAAATCGATCGATCGATTGATTGATTGATTGGTTGAATGAATGGTGAAACAAAAAAAGTTAAAATTGTGTAACAGAAAAAAAAATCTCAGATTATAAACATTACAAAACGTTTCGATTGTTTAGAAGAGCCACTTGCTGTGATTATTTTTTTTTTTTTGCATTCAATTTTTATTTATAAAGAATTTGCGTAGATTTGAAAAGAGAGCAAGAGAGAGAGAGAGAGAGAGAGAGAGAGAGAGAGAGAAAAATTGGTGTGTGTGTGTATGGTTCATTTTGCAAACAAAAAAAAATCAATTAATAAATTAATCATATCGAAAAATTTCATTCAAAAGATTATCATCAATACAATCGAATGGACGATCCGATTGTATTGGAATGATTTTTGTTGTTTTGCTAGTTGATAATATATTCGATGTGGTGGCTCCCGTTTGTTGTTGATGATTATGAATATCATCACCATTATTAATCGATTCCTGGATCATTATAACATCATCATTATCTATTTCAATAGCTTGTTGTTGTTGTTGTTGTTGTTGATTCGGCTGTTGGTGACTAAGATTATAATAATACATCAGACCACGAAACATTGGCATTGATAAATGTTTCAAGAATATATCCTCTTCAGTTGAAATGATATGAAATGTCCATTTCAGACAAAATGTTGTCGTTATAGGTCTTGAACAACGAAGTGTAATCCTTGTCGTATGACAATCGACAGGTATTTTTTCAATATTTTTTATCGAATCAGGCATTGAATTCATTAATTTTTGTAATGATGGATAGATGATTTCTTTTGATTCTAATCGTATTTTATTATATTTTTGATAATTCTGTTCAATCTGTATGCCAGTAGCACATTCAAAATATGTTTGAGCAAAATCCGATAATAATATAGCATAGGATTTTTCTTGTTCATCAAATAGATATTTAATCAATATGGTTGTTGGCCTTCCATTCAATACGGTATTCATCGAACAAATCCAATTGATTGGCTCCAATTTTGCCAATAATACAGAACTATTGTTTAATTTTGTTGTTTTATCCGATAATAAAGACGATGATGATGATGATCGGATAGTGGTGGTATTCTCCGATGCTGTTGTTGTTGATTTCAAGTTAATCATTGCTGTCGTTGCTGTGGTCATCTTACATCAATCTTGTCAATCAAAAACACATTTATATATTGAGTTTCCTTTATATATAGGTAATCTGTTTTATGTTTTATTTCGAATGTTCAAATCTTGTGAATATATGAAAATGGAAATAACAGAAAAAAGGTGTCTGTTAGATAAACAAACAAACACACACACACACACACACACAAGAGAAAAAATGCAATGTAAATGTAATTTGAATTCTTCGACGTTTTCAATTCTTTTTTTCTTTCTTTCTAGAATTTTAGCGATCCAATATTTGATAAATCGGGTAATTTAATATCTCGAAATTGTTGGGAAAGATTCATATTCTTTACAGCTGATACGGCTCGTGCTGGTGCTGCGCTGATTCCCATCTGATTATATTACCACCATTGATTGATTTGTTGTGTTATATATGTGAATATATATAAAAAAAATTTGTATAAAACAAAAAAACGAGAAAGAAAAAAGACATTTACATGAGAAAAACAAGATCGAGAAAAAACGGGCAGCAAAAAAAAAACAAATGGGAAAGACAGACAGACATACGGGAAATGTTCATAAATGACAGTACAGAACGTTAAATATATAAATTCAAAGGAAATTTTGAATTTTCGTTTTTTTTTTTAAAAATATTTTTACATTTAAAAACAAAAATAATTTTTAGTCTGAAAAAAAATTAAAATCAAATGGGATCACTGAACTAGAGGTTAGTTATTATTATTCGTATCAAAAAAAAGAAGAAAACAATTTTTGATCATCATCATTTAAATTTCAATTGATCGATTGGTTGCTGTTGGTGTGATAGAAATTGGTTGATACGAACATTATTCTTCCAACTAACCTCTTGTTTTTCCATTGCATTTTGTTCTTCAATTCTTGTTATTATTTCCGACATGCTTGTTTCCAATACCATACCGCCCATAACTAATTCATTCAGTATATGATGTACCTATTTTGAAAAAAAGTCATTTCACATTTCGTTTTCAAATGGAAAATAAAATTTTTAAAAAAAGTGGTTAAAAATTCGAACTGAAATTGTATTACAACAACATTAACATACTTTATCCACATGAAATATTAGATCCAATTCGCAAACATTTTCAAAACATTTATCCAATGTTTCAACAAATACTTGAATTAGATCAAGTATACCTAATTCAGATTCACTGGAATCAACACAGAATACAAAATATAATGTTGCATAATGACGATAGATAAGTTTATAATCGGAACCACCAATTAAACTAATTTTTTTTTTTGGAAAAATTAAAAATTGAATTCGAATGAATTTAATATTGGAAAAATTATTTACCTGCCACCTTCAAGAAAATTACAAACATTTTCATCACGTTTAGAGACCAATTGAAATGTTTCCTTTATAATCTGTTGTTGTAAATCTTCTGGCTGTGTTTGTGTGAGAAAAAAAAAGAAAAGAGATTGGTAATGTAATTTTGGATCAATCAATCGAATCGAAACTTACATAGAATTCATAAAATTTTGTCAAACGTGGCTTTCCATGATTATTGAATACCAAGATGGCTTTAATCATTTTTTTTTAATTTTTAATTCAAATAAATGCTTGAAAATTACACACACACACACACACACAAAATGATAAATAGAATTACAAATTTATCGATGAAATGATTCTTTCGTTAAAGGAATTAACTAAAAAAAAGTTGAAAAAATTAATTTTGTGTGTGTCAATCCAGTTTTTTTTCTCTTGGTTGATTTGCTGAATCAATGTTTGTGTGTTTGAGCATTCAGAATACAGTAGAAATGGCACACTAGATGGCACCATAAATTAATGTTTATCACATTTGACATTTTTACCAATATTGATCAATCAGTCGATCGAACGAATTAACTGATGATGATCATCGTCGAAAAAAAATGACATTTTATTTCGTTCGATCGATCTAATATTTATATTTATCTTTTTTTTATGATCTTTGTACTTTTTTTTATAATTATCATTATCACCATAATGGCCAATTATGATCAATAGATTTCATTCCATGTTTGTTGTTGATTTTGACACGTCAATAATTTATAAATTGAAATGTTCCAATTCCATTATATAGAATAATAATAATTCTATCTGTAAAAGATCTACTAGAATTTGATTCCAAAAAATATAGTTTTTGTACAAAAATACATTTCTTCTTTTTTTCTTCTTATCATTCATCAAAGATTTATTTTGTTATTGTTATTGTGTTGTTTTCAACATATTAAAATCCTATTTTTTTCAATTATATATTTTAATAATTCATTCCATCTCTGGGTAAGTAATTTTTTCAATTTTTTTTTTTTCATTGAAAAATCTATACTAATCAATAATTGAGCTTATCATAATCCTCAATATTATTATTATTGTTGTTGTTGTTGTTGTTTTCGCTTTCACAATCTATCTATCTTCAGAACATTTATTTTGTACTCATTGGTACTTATATATCGGTTTTAAGTTTCAATTTTGTTTTGTTTTCAAGAAAATTGTACAATGTTGTTGGTTTAAAAAAAAAAAAAAACAAGCTAAGAATTGGTAACCTGTTTTTTCTCTTTTTTTTCTTATGTTTTCTGGTTTTATGTTTTTCGTACATTCGTACGAAATTGGTGTGTTTACCACTTGTTGTTGTTGTTGTTGTTGTTGTTATCATCATTATTATGGTCTTGTCTTTAAATAATGATGACAAATTTGTGTACCCGCCTTGAATCGTTGATTGAAATACAAATGTATTGTAGCATCTATCTATCAAATGATGTTTAATAGTGACCTTGACCACGTTGATGGAATTCTCCAAAAAGAAATTTTAATTTTTACCAATAATAAACATAATATATAATCTGGCATTGAATGAAAGTTTTTGTTTGTTCAATCCTTAATTTTTTTCATCATTCGTACATTAAGTTTTGTTTTTCTTTTACATTTCCACTTTTCACTAGTTACTATCAACTGACAAGGAAAATTTTATCAAATCGAATGTATTTTTTTCTCTCTCTCTCTCCGTGTAAATGTGATTTGATAAAATCGAAATTATTGATTCACAAACCAAAGAAAAAAAAAATTAACCATTGATTGGTTTGTTGTGTTTGATGTCGTTTGAAAATCAAAATTAATCAACTTCTGCTGCTGTCGCTGTCATTTTGTTTCATATCAATACTGGGTGTGTTTGACTGTGTGCATGTTATTTGATTCTTTGTTTCAAAGAAAAATACATCAAACATAAAACTCAGTTCATTCGTTCAATTGCAATATATCATCTGCTGTCATTTGCATATTTGAATTCGAATTGAACACATACAGACATAATTTAATTGAATTTTTCGAAATAAAACTTTTCATCATCATAGTGACAGTCAAAATCACAGAAAAAAAAGAGAAAATTTCAACCTTTGAATCCATTTGGTCAGTTGATTGTTCCGTAATTTTTATTATTCAATTTTGGATTCTTGTTTGTAAGTATTTTTAAATAACTCTTTTTATCTGTTATATTTCGGTTAATAATAATAAACGAATAAAATCCTAAAATACGGGTTATTGTATCATCATAACAATAAGCCATAAAATAAACCGATTTATTGTGATCATTCATAAACTGATCACGTGTGTGTGTAATTGTGATATATTTGTCTTGTTGTTGTGTTGTCAATAAAAAAAATGTTTTGACACAAATCATTCATCATTCATTGTCGATCATACAAATTTGAGATGTTAATTTCCATTCTTCTTGCAGAATGTTTGCTCTACCGATAATGATGAGAATGAGTAGTCGTTTCACTTGCTCTTGATGATGATGATGACAATATTCTTGTTATTACAGTACTACTAGTTCATTCATATATAGATCAAAAGCACTTTGCCAAGAATATTTTGCCGTTCTTTTCTTTACTCTACTTGTATAGAAACCATATACATTTTTTATGGGTTTTCTTCAAAAAAAAAAAAAAAAAAAAAAGAATCCCTACACATTGAAAACACACTGCAAGCAAACAAGAAATATAAAAAAAAATTCGTCTGCACTTTTGTTTGCTAATAATAAATTGTAATTATTCCTGGTGTCTTGGTGTCGTTTATTTGTTGCGAAATTATTCTTTTGTGACGATGACTATGACGATAAATGTCCGTTATGTCTTTCCGTATTTTTTTTTTCTCTCTCTCTCTCTCTCTCTACCCGTTGACAAAAATTATTATTAGTCTATACTAGAGATATAATGACATGAGTGAATGTCATTTACTCGTTCATTACAAATACACATAGACAAAAACGATTCGTTTTTTTCCCTCGTTCTCACTTAACTGAATTCTGTTTTTGTTGTTGTTGTTTCTTTTTCAAATTATTCATGTTTGTTTTGTGTGTGTGTGTGTGTTAGTGGAGAATGAATTTTGAATGACAACTTTCATCAATTTCATTTTATTTTCATTTTGTGTTGATTGATTTATTATTATTGATTAATTAATCATCAATTTCCGGCTTTATTTATTGATTTCATTTCAAAGCTGATTTTTTTTCCTCTGATCAAAACAAAAATGAATCGAAAAATGAGTGCATTGTTCGTAATTGATTATTATCATTTTTTTTGTTTCAATTTTCATTGTCATTAATTAACATTTTAATTTTCATTTTATTTAATTCATTTTTTTCAATTCAATCAATTTTCATTCAATATATTCTTATTTCAATCAGATTTTCTTCTTTTTATTTTTCTTTCTTTCCTTTTCATAACAATGAATTTTTATTAATTTCATTACGTCATTCCTGTTGTCATAATAATAATAATAATCATAATATGTTTGTTGTTCGTTCATATTCATCAATACCTTCATCATCATCGTCATCGAATGATAATAATAAACATCGACATAATAAAAAACAAAACGAATTTTTCTGGAACATTTATAGACAGGATAAATTTGCCTGGATCAAAGTTATGGGTAAAAAACGTGTTTGCATTATTGGTTCTGGTAATTGGTAAGCATTGATTGATTTATTTATTATCAAACATTTACAATATATATATATTGATTTGTTTTTTTTCTTATTTATGATATTGGCAAAAAAAGGGGCTCAGCTATAGCAAAAATTGTTGGCAAAAATGCGCATAAATATCCACAATTTGAAACCGATGTTCGTATGTATGTTTATGAAGAGATTGTTGATGGAAGAAAATTAAGTGAAATTATAAATGAACAACATGAGAATGTTAAATATTTACCCGGACATAAATTGCCTGAAAATATTGTAAGTTGAGATAAATGAAAAAAAAATGAAATTTATTATGAAAAACGATCATTGTGTTTACCAATCAAAAACTCATCAAATACATCGAGATAAGATAATTTATCATCATTTTTTTTCTCACTACCATATCACTATAATAGATTGCCGATCCAGACCTTGAACATACGGTTGGTGATGCTGATATACTTGTATTTGTTGTACCACATGCCTTTGTATCACGAATCTGTAATACTCTTAAGGGTAAAATTAATCCGAATGCAATAGCTATCTCATTGATTAAGGTTTGTGGTTTATTCATTTTTTTTTATTAAAAAATTTCTCAAACATTTTTTTTTCTATAATAGGGTTTCAATGAACTGCCATCCGGTGGTATTGAATTAATATCTGATGTAATACGTCATACATTAGGTATTGATACATCGGTATTGATGGGAGCAAATCTGGCAAATGAAGTGGCCGAACAGAAATTCTGTGAAACAACCATTGGTTGTAAATGTCCACATCAAGGTGCCATACTGAAGGATTTATTTCAAACGGATGATTTTCGTATAACTGTTGTGCCGGATCGATATACAGTAGAAATTTGTGGTGCATTAAAAGTTGGTTATTTTTTTCTGACCAAAATAACTTATTCCGGATTGTAAAAGATATCACTCTTTTTTCCTTTGTTTATTCGAAATCTAGAATGTTGTTGCATGTGCAGCCGGTTTTTCCGATGGTCTTGGTTATGGTGACAATACTAAAGCGGCTGTCATTCGAATTGGCCTAAAAGAGATGATTCGTTTCTGTAAAACATTCTATGCCGATGGATTACGGGTGTCAACATTTTTTGAATCATGTGGTGTTGCCGATCTAATTACCACCTGTTATGGTGGCCGTAATCGTCGTGTATCCGAAGCATTTGTTAAAACGGGTAAAACAATTGAAGAACTTGAAACTGAAATGCTCAATGGACAAAAATTACAAGGTTATCAAACTTGTGAAGAAGTGGTTAATATGCTCAATCTTAATGGTTATATTGATCGTATGTATTTGAAATTACGAAAAAAAACTCAAAATTCTAAAAAAAATGTCTTATGTTTATAATATGTCTAGGTTTTCCATTATTCCATGCTGTAAATCTGATTTATAAACGTGAATTACCTGCAGAAAAATTGGTTGAATTTCTACGCAGAGAACCTGATGAAGATGATTGAATTTACTATTGACTGTGCATCCGGATGAATTCATGATTCATCATTTATCAAAAAAAAAATAGACCCAAATCAATCAATTAATCAATCAGGAAAACAAAAATACTAAACAAAAAGAAATCGTGATTGTGAAACGCACTTGCCACACAATCCATTTCAAATAAAAATTGTGGCTGAAATTAGATTATACTCAAACAAAACAAAACAAAAAAAAACGTCCCAAACAACCTATTTAAAAAAACCTTTTTTAAAAAATTTATTTTAATCGATTATTTTCCTGCCATAAGAACACTCATACACACACACACACACCCCCATCATCTTTCCTATCTAAATTCTACACTGAATTTTAACCTGAATCACTTGTTATATTCAATTTATGTTATTAGTGTTTTGTTATGATCATGAATGATGATTGAATTGAAATGAATTTTAATTTTAATAATAAAAAAATGAAATTTTTTTTTTAATTTTAAAAAAAACGCGCATGGGCATCAAAATTTTGTTTTGTTTTGTTATTACGAAAATCGAATGTTGTGTTTGTTTTGAACATAGTTGTTCGAAATGCGCAAACTCACAATTCCTAAATGTATTTAAATAGAATATATATACACATATATTGCTCATCATCATACAATACAAATAGACCGAAAAACTGATGCGCACTTTAATTTTTGTTTTCTGGTTTAGTAGTTCTCTGAAACATTATTATTAATCCGGAACATTTTCTTTCAAATAATCATCGTATATCGATATATAAGATTCTTTTTTTGGTTTATCAAAAAAAACCAAACTATTGAAAGGTTTGTCATTTGATCATTATTATTAAATTTTTTTTTCGTTAGATAAGATCGTTGATACCTGTCGTGAATCGTGAAATTCAGAAATTTTTTTTTTGTTTTGTTTTTCGTAACGTCGATGATGACTAATACCATTGAAAATTGGTCAAATATCCTATTTGCTTTTCAATCGTTTGATTCGAGGATATAATGTCAATGCATACACAAAAAAAACTTGTTATCCTCGAAATCGTATGATTGATAGCATATATAGTGTAATAATAAGTACTCAACGATGATGACTCATCGAGCTGCAAATCGAGATTTTTCTCTTTTTTTCTCAATTTTTTGTACTCAAATGCTAGTTGATTTTTTGAAATTTCATTTCAGTATATAAACAATACGATTTATTCATTCATTTTTTTATTATTTTTTCTTTTTCTTTCATCATTGATCTATATTGTCTTTGTGTTTAGTGTTAAAACAACAATATGGCCGATTATGTTTCACTAAAATCATCGGATAAATCCGATGATTTGGATTCAACATTATTATCACCATCGATGACCGATAGTGGTGATCAATTTGCTGGTTTCAAAAGTTCAGAATCATTGGTTACTTTTAATAAAACAAAAATGACCTATACAATTAATGATGAATTATCGGCACATTTTTCTGTATTTTTATCATCATATAAAATGGATGATAATGATCATGTTGGTATTTGTCGCCTCCCAGATGATATGTTCATTGTTTCGAAATTAATTCGTGATTGTGATGTGGATACTGAGCTGGAAAATCTTGATGATATTGGTCTATTAGATGATGATAAAATTATTGCCAAAAAAACTTGTTTCAAGCAAAAAGATTTGCCTATGGATAAGAAACCATCATATTTTCAATTCTGTTATCAGAATTCTAATGGTGCTATATTGGGTAAATCTACACCGTTCCAAATTAAAGATGTGGCCGAAATGCAAAGTTCATCAATGTCACCACCACAAATGGTTGAAAGTACAGCCACTACAAGTGGCGTTGTTGAACGTCCGGATGAAGAGGATTTTATTGTCGTAAGTTTTTTTAAATGAAATTTTAGTTTGCCAAAAAAAATAAACATTTTGTCTTGAATAGGTTCGATCTCAAGAAAGTTTTCTCAAAGAACGTATCGAACATTTGACCAAATCAAACAATTTACTTCAATATCTTATCCGTAATATGGAAAAAGATATTGTTGATAAGGAAAATGAAAACAAAGAATTGAATTCTCGATTAAATTCAACCGTAGAGGAATTGCAAAAAATTAAGAAAGCACAAGCAGATTCGGCCGAAGTTTTGCAATTTATTAGCCACCAAAAAGATGATCTAGATAATGTCAAGTCACAATTGGAAGAAACATTGAGAACTGAACGGGAACTTCGACGACGATTGGAAAAAGAATTGTCCGAATTGCAAGACACATATAAAGAATATGATAAAGATTTAAAAGAATCACGTGAGAATGCCTCTCAATTGCAAACAATTTTATCGCAAAAAGAAGAGGACATTTCATTGGCACAAGATATGATAGACAATCTTCGTAAAGCAAACAACGAATTGCTCAGCAAAGTTCATTCGTTGGAAGATGATATGGAAAATACGAAATCAATTCTGGCCACAACATTGGACGAACGAAGAGCATTAATGGATGAACGTTCAAATTGGCATACATCGATGAAAACGTATGATGAATCGAAAAATTATCTCATACAACGTGTTGAAGATTTGGAAAAAATACGCGATAAACAATTGGCTGAGATTAAATCATTGGAAGAAGAATTACGTCAGTCGATTTCAAATCTAAAAAATATTAATTCAAAATCTGAAAAAGAACAATCATATCATCAGAAACAACAGCAAGATATGATCATTAAGATTGACAAATTGAATGCTGATTACATTGAAATGCGTGCTCGTTTAGAACAGGCTAAAGTTGAATATGGAAATCTGTTTGTGAAATATCAAAATTTACAAAAGAAACAAGAACGTAATAGTTCATCACAAGATAAATCTGGTTCGATATATCCAAAATTACCATCGAATGAATCTTCTTCCTCTTTGGATGCAGATAAAATGATCATTATTGATCCTATTGATCGTATTCTTGATGAGATGGATTTGGCTACCCAAACCGATTCAAAAAGTTCAACATCCAAAGCAAATGATTCTGCAAATCTATCAACATTGAAAGAGGTTAATGAAATTCCAATACAATCCTCGTCGGCTGAGCAACAGCAAACTTTGGTAAAAACAATTGCTATCGAACCATCAGCACCACCACAGAAAGAACAGCCACAACAACAAGATGATTCGATTTGTGTAAAAAGCATTATCGATATGCCATGTACAATGTGTGAACAGGTAATTCGTTGTAATCAAACGGACGAAAATGGACAAATGAAAGAAATGATTGAACATTTTGAAGAAGTACATAAACAAAAAATGTGTCCCGTTTGTTCCGTTTTGTTTGATACACGATTATCAATATTTAAATCATATTTTACCACACATTTACAGAATCATTTTAATCAGATGAAATATCCTTCTCAAAATTAATTAATCATTTATAACACAAAAAATACCAATAATGATTAGATGAATATTTTTTTTTTTTTGGTTATATACTACTCTATATAAGTGAGATTATCTGTTTTTCTTTAATCATTCATTCATTTGTTTTTTCCAATATGTTGACTTTATCTATCAAATCATCATTGAATAATAAATAAATAAACAAAATATATTTGGTTTTATCGGAAATTTATTACATTTGAAAAATAAAACAATCGACAATAAACAAATGTCACAATGGTATTTATATATATGAAAATGAAAATGAAAATGGGCGGACACCGGTGTCAAAATGTATGATGGAGAGGGCACACAACAATTTGTCAAAACAAAACATTCATCATCATTAATAATAATAATAATAAATGGTAAAATTTAAATTTGATAACAGTTTTTTTTTTTAAACAACAACAAAACAAGGGAATTATACAAGGGAATTTTTTGGGAACGAGGAAATAACATTTCGATTTTCATTGCATTTTGTACAATTTGTTGTTATATTATGATCAGAATATGATCCAATATCGATGTATATATAGGAAATCAGCTTGTATCATTAGTGTTTTCTTCATCCACTTCTTTGATATCATCTTCAGCCGATTCGGATACTTTTCGAGATTTTGATTCGGCCGATGCAGATAGTTTATCTTTCCAATATTGATAATTAATATTCATATTGTCAATCATTTCGGTAAAGTTTCCAAACGCTATAAAAAGTGGTGAACAGATAAAATTATGAATTTAATTTAATTTTTGTAGGAAAAAAAAGACTTACAATGCCAAGCTTCAAACATATCGTTGGCAAAATAATCGATAAAACCAATTTGTGATTTTGGTATTGAACAATTTCGTCGATCAAATGTTGGCATCACAACAGGCAGGCATTTACGTTTTTCTTCTTCGGTCTAAAAATTTATCATTTTCATTGAAACACAACAAAAGATATATTATAATATAAATAGTTGAAATGAATATGGTTCCAATTACCTGATCACAATATTCGGATGCAATTCGATTAGCCCAAACTTCACATAACTTGGTCGGCCGACCTGGATTTGAAACATCGGCACATTTGATTAACATCCGTTTGATTAAGACTATATTCTCTGGGGTGGCCAAATCTGATACAGTGGTTGATGTCGAAATATTATCATCATCATTTTTGTTACCACTACCACCACCAACACTTTTATATTTATCCAGACTAATCAATTGTTCATCATCAACAATATTGAATGATTGAAATGTACGAACGAATTTGGTTAAATGTTCAAAATGTTTGGTCATTTCGGTTGCTAAAACCATATCGATGATTGATTGACGACATTCACGATATGTTTCACGATCAAGATTTTTAAATATATTCACACGATCCGAATCCGGTCCTAGAACGGTGAGCCGAAAACCATATGCAGCATGATGACTTTCTAGAACCGATCTATATTGATTCAATAAATAATGATTAGGATTTTAATAAATGAAAATAGGAACAAATAAATTACGAATACATACATATCATTATATAGTACGGCTAATTCATGATTTGAATTCGAAAGAAAAGCACTATTTCTACCAGGATGATCAACATCATGAATGATGGCCGCAATCAAACAAATGGCCTGATCAAACGGATCGAATAATGTTTTTAGTCGTTCAGACATTAAATAATATGCTGTCGCTTGCATTACATCAGCTGCATGTGTAGAATTATGGTATGAATTTTTGCGATAATTAGCTTCGATTAATGAAAGCCAATTTCGAGCTACCGTTTGGCTACAATTTAATGTTTGTAATACATTAAAACGATCGAATATTGAAGTGCCAAGCCATAATAATGGACTAATTTCAAAATCAAACAAAAAAAATGAAAATGAAAATGAAAATTGATCGTAGGTCATTATTATCAATTAACAATCACAAGTTAATGGTCAATAAATTATCATCATCATTATGGCCATCATACCATTTATCTGATATTCTTTCAAGTTCAATGACATCGAAATTCCATTCGAGATCATTATCTAATAATTTTTGTATGTTAGCCGGTACGGTTATCGATGACGATAGACTTGATTGATGTTGATATTGTTGTTGTTGAGAATGATGGTGGCTTTGTTGTTGACTTGAATACGTGGGCGTAGACATTGTTTGTGTTAGATGATATGAAACACTATTCTTATGTGATGGTACATCATGTGACAATCGTCTTGTACTACTGTTGGTTGATTTATTTGATGTCTGTCGAGAATAAGAAGAAGAAGAATTAATGGATAAGTCATTATTATTGATAATGGGTATTGATTCAAAGACACATTTACACTTACATTCATCAAGCTACTGACCAATTCCGATGTAACCTGATCATCTGGATTGATTTGATTCTGAAATTTATTGAATACTTCAGAATTTTTCAATATATCAATAGCTTTTTCTAATGTTGGCGCTAAAAATGTTGGACCACTTTCTTTTATGGCCATTAAGATGTTTATAACCTGTCAAATGATAATATTGCAGCATTAGAGATAAATGATGATGGTGAAAGATGTTGAACATTTTAAAGTTTAATCGACAAAAAATAAAATAAAATAAAAGAATTTTTCGACCGTTACCTTGGTTATAGGAGCTTCGATCATTGATACGGAATTGAATTTTGCTAAACTTGGTCTCCGAGCTACAGAATTTTTTTGTTTGTTTGAAAGGAATTTTATTTAAAAAAAAATATAACCCGATAAATGATAATGGCAATGGCAATAATAATAAAGCATATAATAATAATTTATAATAATAAAATAGACAGACCTTCTGAACGAACATCAATGGTTGACATTTTACGATATGCATTTCTTGCTGCAGCCGCTGTATTCGGTGATGATGATGTTGCCAATGATCCATGACTTGATGAGAATTCTAATAAATTTATGAATAAATTTTTTTTTTTTTTACAAATTCATCCATAAATTTTCATTTTATACATAAAATAATATAATACCTCTTTCTGGACTCATTAGTTTATCAACAAAAAGGAATGGAAATTCTTTAATATAGATGATGTATTCAGGTACACTACAATACATTCGAAACATGGTAACAAGTAACAAATTTCAATTAGAAAAAACATACTCTACTAAATAAAAATAATAATTATCAATCAAAATTACCCTTTTCGATAATTAATTGGCATTATACGATTCCAAATTGGTACACTTTCACCGGATTTTCTTCGATGATATATTTGTCCTTCCCATTCCTTTTATTTGAGACAAACAGACACACACACACACAGGAGAAATAATTATGAAAATGCATTTTATTTTTGTCCGTTAGGCCAAATGAATGCTGACTGCACTTACCTTGCCATCATTATAGTTATTGATTTTTTCATCCACATCCATTTTAATTAGGTCATTTTGGAAAAAATCCTGTGTTCGCTGTCCGATCATATCTTCGGCACGGAAACCGAACATTTTTTCAATTGATTGATTAACATATCGTATATCATGTGATGGACCAGTAATGACTACACCATCTTTACAGGAATCAATGGCCATCATCATTGTTTGTGCGGCACGTAATTTCATTTGCATCGGTAATTCAAATACACATAATTGAATCAATTCGTTTTGATAATAACCACAACCTTGAGAAACGGTTTCCGATATACACTATATATTTGATTCGATAAATAAAATAACATGTCTATAAATAGACGATATCCTAATAATAACTAACTAACTAATGAAACATACCCGATTGAAACCGGATTTATAAATGTCCATCATCATCATCATCATATGATGATGATGATAATAAGATTCATCATCCGGTTTTTCATTATAATCATAAAAGTTTTTATTCATTAATGCCATAACTATGGTAAATTCACTGCCTTTTATATCACGAATTGCTCTATAATAGTTGACAGTTATTTTTTTTATTATTGATAACATAACAAAAATATTAACAAATCAAATCATAAAAAAAACTTACCTGCACAAATTTAATGAATCCAAAGTTGGCTGCTGCTGTCTATTATCACAAAATAATAACGTTGATGATGATGATGATGATGATGATGCGGGCGGATGTGAAGATGATGAATCTTGTAAAAGAAATTTTGTTCTAGCCGAATTATTACTATCAAAACGAACATGTCGTTGTTGTTGTTGTTGCTGATGATGATCATGATAATGATGATGTTGATGATTATACACATGAGATCGGCTGTCAATTATGATTAGCTCATGTTGTTTTTCAACATATAAATTCATAGCCGATTCTTTTGTATCGACTAAATCGATAATTGTGAAACCAGATTTTTTTCCAGCATCACATAACCATTTGGCATGATTATCATATTTATCATTGAATACTAACAACAGCTATATATATGTTTTATGGGAGAATTTGTATTCAAAAAAAAGAGAAAAAGAAAGAGAGAAAGAGAAAGAAAAAGAATATTACATTTGGGAATAACCGAAACCAAAACCCAAAATTTGTCAAACCCATTCTTTCATTTATTCAAATGTATTTTGTTTTCAACAAACATACCTTTGGATTTTTCATTTCAATATTCATACGGCCAAATTGTATGAATGGTTGATGTAACTGTTCAACCATTGTGTTGGTTGTGATTGTCGATTGCTGCTGCTGTTGTTGTTGTTGTTTATTATTATTATTGCTATTAATATTCATGGCCATACGAAGCATTTGTGTTGAGCCAGATAATTCATTAATTTGTGATACATATTTACCGCTGCTGCTGCTGCTGCTGCTGATGTTGTTATTTGTGTTCATAGTTTGTACAGCGGATAATGATTGATCTGAAAGCTATAATAATTATGTATCGTTTTATTATTTGTTATGTCAGAAAGATGGAAAAAAAAGAATGAAAAAAAAATTGATCAACACAAATAAATACACATATATCTTGTCTTGATATAAATTAAATTTCTATAGAACAAAAGAAAAATATTTTCAAAAATATATTCTCATTCATCCTTCATTGGATTGATGTTCAGGTTGCTAACAGTGAAAAAATAGAGATAAGATTTTTTTTTTTTTTTTGCTAATCCTTATCACACACAATCAACCCATACTATTAATTATTGTTGTATTGAAATAAAAGGCTATTGTACCGAGTTGTATGTGTTTAGAGTATAATTGATATCATCATCATCAAATTTCTTATTATCAGTGTCCATTGTCGTCGTTGTCGTTGTCGTCGTCTTAGATAAACTCGGCAGCGATACTTGCCTGATACAGGTTTTGTAAACCATTTGTATTTTTTTGGATAATTATGGAAAAATTTTTTTTTCTTACATTTGGCACCGTGTGTGTGTGTGTGTAAATGTTCCTGAGGAGATTATTTCCATCAAGTATTGTATTGGGCGACGACGACGAAAACCAAAAAAAAAAAATTGATGCCGGCAAATGATCATACCAATTTGTTGGTTAAGTGGATTTTTCATTTCATTTTTTTTCTTTCTTTTAAGAAGTTTTTTTTTGCAATATGAAAACTTAAAAATCCCTCATTCCATCATCATCATCATAAATATTATGATGATGATGATTATAAACAGCAGCAATATAATCAATTATGGCGCCTACCTAATCACATATAGTCGGGCTAGATTTTTTTTTTAATATCTGGATCGGTTGATTAATTAATTAATTAACTAATCAGATCTATGATCGCATACTCACACATACACACACACACACACACACACACACACACACACACACATCTCCTTTATACACACGTACACATTTATATAAATGTTATCGATATGAAAAAAAAAGAAAAAGAAAAATTAATTGATTGATTTATGGCCCACTTTAAAATCAAGAAGGATGTTTATCGATCCAAATTTTGTTTGTATGTGTGTGTGTGTATTCTATTGGTGTAATTATTATCATCACCATCATCATCATCATCAACATCCAAATACAGCCATAAAAATATATATTAGACATTGTCGTAATCGTAAAAAAAAATTTCGATATCATTTGTGTTTGTAATGTCATAGACACACATATACAATAAATATAAAGTATATATATCGAGTACTTTGCTTATGGACAATAATAATATATAATTGCACAAATATTGTCACCTCCACACATGGCACTTAATTATTTATGGCCTTTGTTGTTGTTAGATGTATGATATATGCCTAACTGATTGTTGCGTGTGTGTGTTTTTATTTGGTAGTGATAAATTTCAAATTTCAATGATGACCATATATTTTGTTATTACGTTTCTGTATGTATGTACAATAGATTGAATTTAAATTGGAAAAATCAAAAATCATATCAAAATTAAAAAACGATTGATTTGGTTGAAACGTTGCACACAACAAAAAAAACTAATTCATAGTTTTATTCATGTATTTGCGTGCCCGTTGTTTTTTTTAATGATATTCAAAGATGTTTTTTTTCTTTGGTAATTCTGGTGTATATAAACAACACTATATCAACCGATTGTATATCGGACAATTTTTTTGTGCTGAACAAAAACAAACAAAGAAAAATTTGATCAAACAGATTTTGATGCCGAAACTAATGATAACAATCAATAATGTATTAGTCGGGTATTACACAATACAAAAAATATATATATATATTTAGAACCAATTTACCTGAAAATATTCAACATTTCAAATCCTCTGGATTAAAAAAATAGTTTCAACATCATCATCATATATAATAAGATAAAGGCAGAAAAAAATGATGATGATGATGATATTTTGATCAATTTTCATTGTTTTGTTTGTTTTTTTTTTTGTCATATGATAATGCTACACACACACACACATATACACTGAAAAACATACAAGAATTCAGGAATGAACAGACAACAACAACAACAACAACAAGAACCACGAAACAGAAAAAAATAGAATAAAAAATTCTGTAAATTCTCTTTTTTTTGTTGGCTGTAAGTTGACTGATATATAGAATAGAATTTATAAAGTAAAGAAAAATGATGATGATGATGATCATCATCATCGTTATTTTTGAAAAAAAGAAACGCTTCTTTTGTGTGTTTGTGTGTGTGTGTGTGTGTCGATTGACACAATCAGCACATTCTCTTCATCATTATCATCATCGTTATTATTATTATTCGTTAAGAGAATCATTCAATCATTTTTTTTTTTCTTCACTCTGAATTCATCATCATCATTTACCTCTCTCATCCAAGCAACCCAAACAAAAACTAAATGAATAAAATTCCTTTTCTTCATACACACACACACACACACACTCGAACACATCTTGATTTTATATTTAATTTCTCCACACTAACTAACTATGAAATGAATGAATGAATGAATGAATCAAAAAAAAAGATGAAAATTAATTATCATCATCATCATCATCAAAGGGCAAAACATCTAGCATCATAAATATACAGACACACGTCATCATCATCATTCAGTAATTAAATCCATGGCTACCAATTTTTTTTTTTTTTTTTACTGATGGATAAAAATATGATGAGAATGATGATGATGATGATGATGTGCATACATACGTATCCGTCGTCATTGACAAGATACAGAAATATTTACACTACACTACACGTGCCTGATGCTGTGCCTGCTGCTGCTGCTGCAGATGATGTTTATGCACAATTTCGTTTTTTTTTCTCATAATGAATAAATTTATCAGATTTTTGTTTCTGTTTTACTTTTTTTTTCTTGTTTGTTTCAAATGACGTCTTGAATTGATAATGAATGAAAAAAAAAAATCTGGAAAATGTTTGTGTGTGTGTGAGTGTGGGGGGTGGATGGGGAAAAAAGTACATCATTCATTTTATTCTACTTGCCGTCTATCTGTTTAATCAAAATAAAAAAATGAAATTATTATAATGCTGATGGCCTAATCTTTATCTGTTCCTTTTTTTTCCAATTGAAATCTGATAGATTTTTAGTCGAAAAAAAAGATTTTTTTCTTGTTTCGTTTCGTTTCGTTTTTTTTTTTGGTTTCCGAGGAAGCCAATTTTATTTTTCATATTTTTATTTCATTTTAACTTCAATAATATAATTTGCTTCAGGCATTTTAATTCATTTATTTTTTGCTGCTGTTTAGTGTTGGCCATTTATGTCATTTCGTTTCGTTACATGGTCAAACGAAAACGAAAATTGATTAATTTTGAGAATTTAAAGAGATAAAAAAATAAAAATTTTTCAAGTGTGAAATGTTTTTCTTTTTTTAGTTAAATGAGATCAATATCGTCATCATTTGAAACAGGAATACGATACCAAAGTCAAGGACAGAATGAATGAATGAATTTTTTTTTTTTTTTTTTTTGCTACCCCTTCATTATTCATGATCTATTCAAATGAAATGTTGGCTTCACTGTCTAAATTCATTGTTTTTTTTCTAGGTTTTGTTTTGTTTTTTTTTTTTTTTTTTTTTTTGGTTTTGATACACAATGGTCACTTACCGAACATTGTCCCAAAAGATTGTATGATTGTGTGGATTTGGATTGTGTTGGCGATGATGATGATGGTGGTAGCAGCGGCGGCTGATCACGATATGGCTCTAATCGAGCTATCGTAGCTGAGGTAGTTGAATTAATTCGATTAAACATTGATGATGATGATGATGAACCATATAGACAACAATATGGTTGATGGCAATGATTATTGGCACCTGATGATGACTTTGGATTGATAATTCGTTTTTGATGACGGCAACAATAATGATGATGATAATGTTCATCATCATCATTGTCCATTTTTTTCTTTTGTTGTTGGCTACTTTTATCGATTATTTGATCAGATCGTTTAATTTTTTTCTTCATCTGATTTTTGTGTTGTTGATCACAAATATTTTCGACATTTTTTATTTGTTTCTGTTCATTGCTGTTTGTTTGATTAATTATGGCCGAATTATGATCATTACGATGACCGGACATTGATTCTTGGGAACAAAGTTTACATTGTATAGATACCGGTAATGATGATGCTATTATTGAGCTTTGCGGTGGTTGTTGTCCATCCATTTCATCATCCATATAATCACGGCTACGACGATTATTTTTTGTAGCCATATTTGTAACGATCAAACTATTATTAGTATTTGAAAAGTTTGCACTAGATGTAGGTGATAAATGTTCCATACTACAAGTACCAACAATTGTTGTTGGTGGTTGTACGACAGATAATTCTGATGCTATTGAATGAAGACCAGTTAATGATGCCGATATGGATTTAGTATGAACACTTTCAGCTGTATTCTCTTTACGATTATGATGGCGATGATGATGATGATGATGATGATGTTTGTGATCAGATTTTGTTGTTGTCGATGTTGAATTATTATCATATTGTTGACGACAAAAATCAAAACGAATAGATTGAAATAGACCACAAGAATAATTACGCTTATCGTCGCTTAAATTATCATCATCATCATCAATATCGCAACATTCTGATGATAATGATGATGATGATGATGATGATGTAGGTGAAATGTTAATTTTTTTATCCAATTCCTTATTGTTGTTATTCTTTTTTTGTCGTTTTTTCAATGATGATAATCGTATCTTGGACGGACTATTTAATATTGTTGTCGGTATTGTAATTGATGATTTTAAGTTATTTTTAGTTTTATTATTATTATTGTTGTTGTTGTTGTGACGATCTAGTTTACATTGATTTGTTGTTGTTGTTGTTGTTGTTGAAATTTGTTGCTGAGTTATATTTGTAGTTGTTGTTGGTTGTCGTTGCTGTTGGTCATCATCATCATCATCTGATTGATGGCTTTTATTATTATTATTATTATTATTATTGATATTTGTTGTGGCGGAGGTATTGGAGTTGTTGGTGGTGGTGGTGGTGGTGGATGAGGCAGAAGCAGCAGAAGCTTGGGTGCTTGGTGTGCAGCCCATTATATAATTCCAATGGAATTTGTCCTATTTACTTCCGGACATTTGTGTATGTATATATCGTTTTTATTATTTCCGTTTTGTTAAAATTTCAATAATAATAATAATGATGATGATGATGATTAAATGTTGATGGTTGATATACACAAACAAACACATACAATCAACAAAAGCCAATGACTACACATTTCTTCTTTTCATTCAAGTACAGGATATTGAATAACAATAACAACAACAGCAGCAGCACCAACAACAACTACAACAACAACAACAACAACGAACGAAATAAAAACAGACCAGGCTTTTTTTTTGATTATTATTTTGTTCAATTGATGTAGTCAACCTGGTTGTATTTCGGTAAATGATAATAATAATAATAATAATAATGACAAATCGATGAAGATTCCGGTTTCAGAATAAATGAATACATGAAAATCACGTAAATGGAATTGAAATTGGAGAAAAATATATATATATATATCTTTTACACATTAATCATCACATGTATGTATAATGATAGTAAACACCCAAATTTATGGCGCCCAAATTTTCGATTTCATTTTCAAAAATATAAAAGGTATTCCAGCAAAACAGACACACACACACACACACACACACAACGATTGAATGGTCAAAAAGAAAATGAAATTGAACACACAGAGAGAAACACATAGCCGATCAGCCTGTGTGTATTGTAGGCTAAAACATTACAACACTACTGTCATTGTAGAAACTAACCAACCAACAAACCAGCCAAAGAAAACTAACAAATAAAATTTTTTTTTTTTTTATTTGGAGAATCGAATCACAGTATGTGCGTTTGCCCATGTGTCTATGTATTTATTGTATGTATGTATGTGTGTGTGTGTGTGTCTTCTCCAAATCGTTGATATGAAATAAATGATGTGATGTGATGCTTTAATAAAACTATGATGATGATGATGATGATGGAAAAAACTAGCAATTTTTTTCTGCTGTTGTTGTTGTTGTTGTTGTTTTCGGGATTCCTTTATCATTATTATATACACACAAACACACACACAAAAAAAAATACAAATACAGGTATATATCAACAACAGTTGTTATACTGTTGCTGCTAGTTTATTTATAATAATAAAAATATAATAACCTACACAGTGTTAGCTAGATAGCTAGCTAGCTTTTTCTTCTTCTTTTCATCATCATCATCATCATCGTTATTTGCAAAGCTTTATCCAATTTGTTCTCGATTTTTTTTTTACTGATATTTTTGATGCTGTTGTTGTTGTTGTTGTTGTTGTCGGTTGATTATTATATTATATGTATGTATATGTTCTGTTCTATTTTGTTCATTTTTTTCTGTAATAATAATAAAAAAAATAAGCAGCAGACATATAGTTGTCGATGTCGTCTTCGTTGTCGTTTTCGTTATTGTCGGTTGTTATCACTCAATTTCCTTTTAGTTCAATTTTTTTTTTTCATTCATTCATTCATTTCATTTCATTTCAATACCAATTCCACACATTTCATATATATATACACACACACACACACACACACACACACATGGATAGAGTATAGGTTTAATTCTGAATGTGAATATGTAGCTAGATGTTTTTAACCTGTACATAGCCAAAAAAAAAAAAATAGAGAGAAAGAAATTTTTTTTTTTTTTATTTATTTTTGACAAATTAAATCCAAAAACGTTGCAGCAGCATCATCATCAGTGATAAAACATTCATACATGCATAATACTGACAAACTATGCATACATTGCACAGACAGACAACGCACACAAACACAAAACATCACATAAATTCTAATCTCATTTTCATTTCATTTCATTTGTCGTCGTTTGTCAATGTTGATGTATATATATATATAGAATAACAATATATAAACGAACGCAAAGACTGTTTTGTGTGTGTGTGTGTGTTTGTGTTTCAATTAAATTTTTGTACATTTTCTTTTTTAAATGTTCGTTTAAAAAAAAACAAGTAAAACGATGATGAAGGGCACCCTATTCATTTACGATCATCATCATCATCATCGTCGTCGTTGTAGTCGTCGTCGTCGTCATCGCCGTAATTATCATTATCATTATCGTCGTTGAATTTTTTTTTCTTTTTATTTTCAATATATTCGAAATAGACCGGCATTATGATGATGATGATGATGATGATGATGAATGATGATGATGATGATGATGATCACATCATATACACAAATCACTTGATATCTTAGATCTTAGTATCGATCAATTCACAAGTGCAAAAAAATTTTTTTTTTTTTTTTTGAAAGATTCTTTGATGACAGATTGATACAAAGAGATGCGTGATAGAGAGAGAGAGAGATAGAGAGTTAGTTATTGAATGAATGAATATGAAAAAAAGAGACGACGACAACTACAACAACAACACTAAACGAATAAAATGAATTAGAATCAATTTATCCTTTTTGAATGAATCGTTCATGTTCATGGACACAGGTATATACACACACACACACACACACACACACATACACATTTATTTATTTATATTGTATCGATGGACATTTTTGAAATGTGAAACGACGTTTTTTTTCTGATTTTTCACAAACACACAGCTTACCTGGAGCATAACATGTTTATATCGATGTTTTTTTTTGGTTGGTTGGTTGTTATTGAAATGAAATTTTTTTTTCATTAAAAATCATCATCATCAAAATGTTGATGTTAACAATATATTAATTTAATCGTTTTTTCTTCTTCTTTTCAATATACGGCCATCCAGCAATAACCAAGAAAAAAATAAAAATAAAAAGAGAAAAAAATCGATGAATTTTTATTTAATTTCTATACGTTTGTTTGTTGAATAATCATGGCCAGGAAAAAAAATGAAGATGATAAAGAAATATTCAATGGACATTGATGTTGATGATGATGATGATGATGATGATACAAACTGGAATCGATTGATTGTCGTCATCATTAATGATAATGATGATGATGAGAATTGTGAAATTTAAATAATGAAACGCAAATATAATAACAAAAACAAATCTACAATTTGAAGCAAAACAAAGAATAAAACAGCTAGATTCTGTTATTCTGTTGGTCGTTCTGGTGGTAGCAAAAAAAAATATGTATGTATGTGTGGTGGCGTATTTATGCATATATGATGAATTGATTAAAAAAAAGAGAGTCTAGACAAACAAACCGAGTCAGCAAACCAACAAAAGAAAATTTGATTATTATTTTATGCATACAGCAAAAAAAACAAACAAATTTATTCCATGTTTGTGAAAGAATCGAATTGAATAAAACGGGTAGATGAATGAATGGATGAAACAATAACAAAAAAAAGGCCATCATCATCATCATCATCATTGATTGTTTTGTTTGATTCTCTGTCGATTTGATCCGAGACTCAATATTTATACAGATGTCATCATCATCATCCTTATCATTGTCAGATATGGTTTTGTGTTTGGCTGATAATTTTGTTTTTTCATTTGAAATTATGTCATTCAAATTTGGACCAGAAAAAAATTCTATTTTTTTCTATGACAATGATGATGATAATAATGATGGAATTGACAGGACCAGAAATTGGTGTTACAAAAAAATGCCGAAGAAAATCTCCATCTTTGAACAGTCGATTCATTTATTTATTTATTTATTTATTTTTTTTTTTTTGGTTACATAATAATCTTTTTATAATTAATTTTTATCGGTTTTTTTTCTTTCTTTATTTTGTATCGATCAAACGATCGATTGATTTCATCAATATTCCGGTCTGTTTCTTTTCGGGATAACTGGAAAAATCCTATCAAATAATTTGTATCGTCAAAAAAAAACATTATGATAGAAACCACCACACACACACACAAAAAAAACAGGAAATTGTTTATCTTTCACACATATATTCAGGTCAATTCATTTGGATTAAATAAACACACACACACACACACACAGGAAACAATGTGTGTGTGTTTATTCGTATGATATGATTATTATCGATAATCATAATTGGTATTTTTTTTTTATTTATTATAATGATAACCATAAGTTTCAGTCTATTGTCTGGTTCACATTATTATCATTGGGCATTTTTTTTTTAGATTCATGTGAAAAGGAAACACATGAGCACACCACACACACACACACATTAAATTTAGTGTGACAAAAAAATAAATAAATAAAGATAATACCTTGACGGAATTTAATTTGAGTTCGAGCTGATCATCATCATCATCATCATCATCATTGATGGCTGATTATTAAATTTGATGAATGATTCATCAGTCACCACACACATACACACACATTAGTCTCATGAATTTTTAATCAATGATTCTATAGAAAAAAAAATCGATCGATGACAAACAAACAATTACGATGCCATTGCTAATGTCGTTATATGATGTAGATGTGCCGTTGGCCATTTGTTTGAAAAACATTTTTCATTTTTGTTTTTATTTTGCTCTAAATTCTCAACAACAAGAAGAAGAAGAAGAAGAAAAAATTGTTTGAAAAAAATCATTTTCTGTTTGTTTGTTATGTTTAATTCTTATTATTTGATAGATCGATTGATTGATTGATTGATTTTATCATTGAATCGATATATAAGATTCATTCATTCATTCATTCATTCTTCATCAATTTGGTTACTTCCAATGAGTTGTGTTTATACGCCACCATTCTCATCATCCACTATTATCATCAATGACACATACACTACTAACACGCACACGAGATGATATGTTTGACGTAAGAGATTCAAACGAAAACAAAAAAATAAATTTATAATTCAGAAATAAAAAACGAAAATAAAATTATTTTTCAAAAAAAAAACTGATATAACTATTTGTGTGTGTGTGATGGATGTACATCGACAAATTCATTTGAGAAAAAAAATAGAAAATTGAATTGAACATGTGATTATTAATATCAAGGTTATTTTTTTGGTGCTTCAAGAAGGAATCATCGACTTATTTATTTTTATATTTTTTTTTGTATTGACGTGGAAACACACAAAAAAAAAATTTATTTTTAATTACAACATCACAGAATCGACGACGACCATTTCGATCATCTTTTTATAGTAATTCCAAGTTTTGTATTGTACGAAAGAGAAAAAAAAATTTAAAAGAATTTAGCCACCTGATTGAGAAAGAGAGAGAGCAAGAAAAAAAAAAAAGAATTCCAATCACATGGGTGTTTAACTATACTACGTTGTCTATTCTGATAACTAAACATTGTTTCCAAATATATTGATTGATTTTTGTCGTTCTAATATATTTTCTCTCTCTCTCTCTCTCTCTCTCGCCTCTCTCTCTATCAATCAATTTCTCAGTTTTTTTTTCTTGTACACACATTATTATAACAACAACAAAAAAAATGATGATCAACTTCGTATATATCACAAACAAACAGAGGCCATTCATTAAACTACTGACTACTGCCACTTTTTTTCCGTTTTTTTTCCGTTGTTTTGACATTATTCGATTCGATTCGTCATCGAGATAGCAATTTTTATTCGCTAAAATCTCAAATCAAAATACATGATAGAAAAATAAGCGACAAAATGAATGAATGAATGAAGTAGAAGCAGCAAATAATAAATGAAATGATGATGATGAGCTATAGCCATCATCATCATCATTAACATTAACATTAATGATAATATAACAATAACGACCGGTAGTTACCAAATGTATATATGGAGTTTGGGTATTTTTGTAGTTGATGATGATGATGATTTGTTTTTTTTCATTGTCGTAAATATTGCAAGTTAACTGATTTCACAATACATGTTTTTTTTTGTAGCGCAAATGCTTTTGTGTAATATATTATTTCACTTATATATATCACCATTGACAAACAGACACACTCATTACATTGCTGCTGCTTTTGGTTGTGGATATTTTTTTTTTTTTTTGGTTATCCAAAAAAAAAAAATGATGATGATGATGATGTAGATTTTGTTTTCCACAAAAACACACACACACACACAAGCACAAAAAAAAACTAATCAAAGTGGTAAAAAAGTATAATTTTTTTTTGTTTTTATATATGATGATGATGATGGTTTGGTATATATATATATGGCATCGTTGATTATAATGCGCTTGCCCGGCAATTCAATCATCATCATCTTTATAAAGATGTGAAAAGATGAACGAACCACCAACCATCAATCAGTATACTACAATAGGGCGCCATATGGATATGTATACCATTCAGGTATATCTCACCACCAATAACAATAACAGTAGTAAACACAAACAGTGTATAAACATTTGGTATTTTTTTTTTTTAAATTTCCTCAAAATTTTTATTAAGAAACATTTCTTCTTTATTATAATATATTTATAAATATATAGGGGATTATATGTTGTTGTTGTTGTTTGGAATCTTTATATAACACAAATATTCTCCATATGTGTCACATGTGTGTGTGTATCTGTGTGTGTGTGTGTGTTATCCACCATTCGGATGTAATGAAAAATAATTGAAGAAAAAATCAAATTCTTTTTTTTTATCTTCATAGTAGTTGTTGTAGTAGTAGATAAGAGCAACATTTTTTTAAATAAAATAATTATTCTAGTATATTGTGTCTTTGTGTATTATGGAGTATATTTGTGTACCATATATAATTTCATAACATTTTTTTTTTAAATCGAAAAAAAACGAATCAATTCCACTATTGAATTTTTTTTTTAGCTTGACTGAATGTGTTTTAGAAACTTGTGTGTATGTGTGTGTGTGTGTGTGTGATATTTGGATAAATCATAGTTTACATTCTAGATAGAAGCCTATCGATAGCCGCTTCAACATTACCGAATGTTTCAATCAATGCACGTATATTTGCCTGACGATTAGTGAAACCCATTGCTTCTAATTGTGATAATTGTTGTTCATAACGATTTTCAGCGGATGGTGTCGGTACATTTAACATATGTTGCATCATTTGTGCCAACATATTAGCATTGGGAATTGATGGATTTCCGGTAGCGGTTGCAGTATTTGTTGTTGTTGTTGGAGCTGTAGCAGCAGCAGCAGCGGTTGTATTAGTCGATGACGGATTTTGATTAGCAGATGCTGTTGTGGTTGTTGTTGTTGTTGCTGATGCTGTTGTCGTAGAACTATTATTTGATGATGAAATGTTCGGGATTAACAATTCAGTACTATTGATAATAAAGACATATAAAAATATTATAATTCCGCAATAATAAAACACATTTTACATACATATTTGAAACTGGTACTCCAAGAATTCGTTCCAATTGTTCATAACCTCGTTGAATTTGTATAAATGCCTTCAAAATAACAAAAATGAATGCGAATGAAAATTCTAAAAGTAACATATACCTGCATAGCTTGTGGATCGGTTATTATTCGTTGAAACAAAGGATTCTGCATATTATGTGATACACTATTCAATGTAGCCTGAAGATTGGCTGTATTGGTAGCCGTTCCTGCTGTATTGTTTGCGCCTGTTGTTGGTGTTGTTGTTGCGGCCGGCATAAATGGATTATTCTGAAGAAGTTGTTCAGCCATCTGTGGATTGTTCATCATGCTCTACATTCAAAGAATTCGATAATAAATAAGAACCAGAAATGAAAAGAGAAAACATGCGTGTGGGTAGGTTATCATACCTGCATCATATTCTGCATCATTGGGCTATTCAATATTGATTGTAAAATTGTGGATTCTCATTCATTTGTTGCATCATCTGTTGCATTGAATTCGATGCGAGCAAATTGAAGGGCGATCCACCACCACCACCACCAACACCACCACCACCGCCACCAACGCCAGTAGCAGGTCTCGTGGTTGATGAAGGATTCGATCGTTGCCATGGATTAGGCAATGGTTCACGATTCTCTGTATTACTTGGTGTTGTATTAGTCGTATTCGTCGATGATGATGACGATGAAGACGACGACGACATTGATGCTGATGTCGAATTGGTCGATGCAAAAGGATTGACACCAAATTGTTCTTGAGCAGCGTTCAACATTGGCTCCTGTAATTCTGTATACATTCGCCGTAAGGCATTATAACCACCAGGTAAGCTTTCCAAATTGGACATAGCACGATCATGTGATCGCATCATTTCTTGAAATGCAGCCGGATTACGCATCATATCGAATGTTTGCCGTAATACTTCCGGATTCGATAGTACATGATTAAGCTCAGGATTACGTTCAATCAATTGTTGAATCTGTGGATTAGCCGCAATGATTGAACGAAATATATCCGGATTTGAATAAAGATTTTGTACAAATGGTGATTCCATTACTTGACGCATTAATTCAGGATTATTCATTTGTTGCATCATTTGTTGATTCAAATCGAATGAGTTAGCACCACCACCAGCTGCACCGGTACCCATGGCCATAGCAGATGGTAGTGTACCAGCACCACCAACATTATTATTGTTTGCTCCGGGTGTACCACCAAAAAACATATTTAACATTGAGGCCATCGATGCTGCCGCATCTGGATTTGTTGTTGTTGATTCTGTTGTTGGTCGTGAAGTTGATCCAGTCGTCGATGATGACGATGATGTTGTATTCGAAGTGGATGATGTACCACTCGAACTAGTAGACGTTTTTGTGACCTGTGTGTGTGTGTGAAAAATAAATGAAAATTCCTTTTTCCAAGTGTTACACATTACTTACATCTCGTATGACCAAATGAACAATGTAACCATCTTTCATTTCTGTAAAAAAAAAGAAAAAAATCTTAGCTCAGAGATCAAATAATTTGAGAAAAAAACTTACTATGATTTTCTAATGTATCTCCATCTTTAAGAATTTTACCGGAAAATATTAGACATACTTTATGTGGTTCAACTTTATAACGTTCGGATACCATTTGACGTAAATCCTTTACATTAGCATCATTGGCCAAATGAAATTGTTCCCGTTCTTTTGATGTTTTTACAATTATATTAATCATCTCTTTCGATTTGGATGATGAAGGTGATGATGATGATTGGCTATTTTCACCAGCATTTGGTGATTCTTCCGACGATTTTGTCGGCGTTGTTGGATTATCATCCGACATTATTATGGAATTCGAAAAAGTAGACACACAAACACACACACACAGTGAGATAATCACAATAAAAAATGAATTCTTGCGAATAATTTAATCAATGATTGATTTATATACACCTAGATAATAAGAATTAGAAAAAAATAATCACAAACAGCTGTTTTATATGATGAATTTTTAATCAAATAAAATATTAGAAAAAAACTATTTTTTACAAATTCCAATACAAAATGTGAATTGAAACTAAGAAAAAATGCTGCTGCTGATGCTGCTACTACTACCACTAAATGATCAATAATGCTGAATCATTCAAATCATGATGATGTGACATGATGTAGTGACAGCACATTATAATGCACAAAGAGTGAGAAAATGAATGAAAGAGTGACAGTTATATTTTGCTCCTCTACATTGATTTTTTTTCACCTTATAGAATCTGTCATCGATTGGATTAGAATTGATCATATGGGATGGGATAATTGTGTTTGAATATGGCAAAAAAGTTTTATTTTTCTTACTTTTTTTTATTCGATGTTATGGATTTGACTTTATTCTTTGAATCAGGGAAAATATCGTGGTAAAATATTTTTCAATGGATAAATATGGAATTCGAATATCAATATCAAGGTTTTTCTATTTGTTTGAAATCGTCAAACTACCAATATCAAAAACACAAATACACACACAAACACACACTGGACAAAAAAAAAGTTATTGATGTTTTAAAAAGGACTTTTATCATTAAAATTGATGATTGAATTCGAATATCAATATCAAGGTTTTTCTATTTGTTTGAAATCGTCAAACTACCAATATCAAAACACAAATACACACACAAACACACACTGGACAAAAATTGATTTTTCAAATTAACCTGGATGGTATAGAGAAAAAGATCAAAAAAAATTAATCAGCCGGTTGAATAATAAGACAAATGAATTGCGTTTTTTTTTTCTCTATCTCTTTCTTTCACTTATTTTACTCGCAAATATCTACTGAAAAATATACTTATAGCATGACGTGTGTACCAAACCAAACCAAACACAACACAACACAACACACACACACACTGAGGCAGAAGAACTAGCTGCAGGAGAAAGTGTCTTTTAACTCTATGCCCTTCATATAAGACGTGCATGATTTAAAATTTGATTCACAATTATATTGTTTTAAGAATTTTCGAATTTCTTTTCACCACGTTATTTTGAATTCATTCTTTACTTTCTGTATTTTCAAGGAATTTAATCATTTTTTTTATTAATTTTTTTTTTTGATCAATGTTTTTCTTTTTTTCAAATATAATATATAACAAACAGAATTGAACAGCCTTATTATGTATGTTTGGTTGTTGTCGTCGTCGTCGTCGTCGCTTAGTTTTTGATTGATAATGAGGCATAATTTTGAGAATAACAAGGCAAAAATGAGAAATAATTCTGGCATTATGCATCATCGATGTATGTGTGCGTGTGTGTGTGGGGGGGTAGTGTAAAAAAAATTTCATATATCACCGATGACAATAGTTTGAATTAATGACCACCATTGGATTGATGTTGTTGTTGTTGCTGTTATAATTAGGATTATTGAATGTATCGAAAAAATTCCAAATGAGTGAGCGAATGTGTTTTTGTGTGTTTGTGTGTGTTAACAAAATGTTAGAGGTAAGTGCTAATTTTTTTATTTGGTGAAAAATGAAAAATTGGTTTGTGATGGTGATGGTGGCAGATAGGTAGTAGAAGGTATATAGGTGTATTTAATTAATCAATCCAAACAAACAAACAAACAAATATCATTCAAATTCATCGGTATCATCATAATTGGAAGAGCTAGTTGATGCTTGTCTTGCTTTGCTTGCAATACCCAATATTTTACGTGATTTTGGCTTATCATCAAATGAATTTAAATGTCTATTCATTGCTTGTTGTTGTTGTTGTTGTTGATGATGATGATTTAATTCACGTGCTTCTTGCATAGCACTTTTATTTGTAATTACAATCGGTAGATTAATATGTATATCAATATTGTGCGGTATATCCAATGTAACATGTACAAAATATTTGATTGTTATTATACTTGATTTCATTGTTAATTGAGCTCTTGTTGGTATTGGTATCTCGATTATATCTTCAATCACTTCGGTTGGATCAACTTCACTACCATTGATTGGTTCGACAAGAACAATTTCCAATGTTCGATGACGATCACCAGACATAAATATCTGTGTCTGATATAATGCAGCACGTGGTTGTACCTTTAATGTTGATGTATTATTAATCAATGTTTTCAATTTGATTGTTTCACCTGTATTTTTTTTTTATAAAAAAAAAAAAAAAAAAAATTCCGAAATTAAAATCAATCTAAACATAACGTTCAAAACAATATAAACTTGCCTGCAACATGTCCTTTACGTGAAATTGCCGCTTCAATCGAAACAGATCCGGAACCAAAACAGAATATTCCTAGATCTTTTTCCGAACTACCACTTACGGAAAGCTAGACAATAAAAGCGTTATGAAAAAAAACTCGGGTCAATTAAATTGAATTTATGTTTCAAATGATAAACTGGATATAGTTCCAAGGAATCGAACGATGAAGAGATCCTGGATCTATCCTTAGTATATATGATGCAAGCGAAAATAAAATAAAATGAAATGAAATGAAAAAACAGATCTAACCACTTAAAGTCTGAGAATATAATGATGATGCTAAATGATTCTGTAACTTGAATTCAATAGTGCATTAAATTATGTTTAGATAGTAATAGCTCAAATAAAAAAAAAAAACGAGAGTTCAAGAACCGCTAATATTCTGTTGTTTTGTTGTTGTTGTTGTTGTTACTGGAAAATGTTCTTGGAAATTCTGTCCATTTTTTTATGTGTTTATCCATTTGCACTTACCATTAAGCTTTTACGTACTGGATTTTCAAGTTTAATTTCAACACCATAACGATGTCCACGATTCAATGATGATCCAGGTTCACCATCTTTATCGATTATACATTCAACAAAATAATTGATACAACCATAACGGCCATCAAATGATGGCGGTGATTCACTATATATGATAATAATGATAATGTTAATGTTAATGGATTGAATAGAGATCATAAATTTAGCTCCGACTCCGATAATAATGGCATGTTTTAATAAATGTATGTCTAACCACCTCTAAAAATGGATTTCACATGAATAATAATAATAATTCAAATTACCTGTCATCCGGTAAACGAAAACGAAATGGAATTTCGTGACGACCGCTACGAAGTATTTGTGAGCTAACTATAGAGAGATGATCGATTCATCGAAAAAAAAAGAAAACAAAAGATAAGATTAAGAGATATGAACACCAAAAAAAAACAACAATAGTAGTGGCATTGCCACGTTTTTTTATCGATAATAATAATAATAATAATAATACTATTATTATACTAACCGGCACGTGGTAATTCATAAAATTCTTCCAATAATTTTTTCTGATCAAACGTATCATCAGCATTACGTATTTTTGACATACAAACAATACCGATTCTTAATTTTGATAGATGTAATTCACCTTGACATGCTATACGTAATTTTCCATGTACCATTTCACCCATTTCAAATATTTTACGATCACGATCAAGAAATATTTCCACATCTTTAATGACTAGATTTCGATTCATGGTTGAATTTTTTTTTTTTTTTTTGTTTGTTTGTTCGATTGTTGATTTTATTATTATTATTATAATTTTGGTTTATTCGTAATTTGTATATTGACACAATGGTTTATTGGACGACAAAAGAAAAAGAGTATCCAACTCTCTCCTTTCCTTCGAGGCAAATTGATTTGTTATTGATTGATCGATCGACAATATTTAAGTATATAATGTATTGATCCAATTTAAGAATGCTGCTGTCATTGTCGTTGTTGTTGTTGTTGTTGTTGTTTTTGTTATTCGAGATTTGACTTTTTTTTATGGTGAATACAATGCAAACAAACAATCACAGTCATCTAATAATAATAATAAGTGACGATACCGAATATATAAAGTTTGTTTACCCAAAAACAACAAACGATTTTTTTTTTGAGGCGTAGTATTATGGCCACTACAATATTATGTTATGATGATGATTTTTATATGATGATGATGATGATGATGAAACAACCCGTTAATAATGAAGTACCGATTTAGTTAGCGAAATATAATTTTGTTTTTTTTTTTGATATTAATGAATTACTCATTTCACCATCGACCGACCGACCAACCAACCAACCAACCAATCAAATGAATGAATTGAATTGAATTGAATTGCTTAAACGCACGCAATTTGTTTGTTATTAAAACGATTGAATGAATCGAATGAATGAATCAAACGGTTGATGATGATGATGATGATTTTCATTCATTAGAATTGGTGGTTTGTCTAGTATTTTTGTTGATGGTGGATTTGAAAGAAAGAGAGATGAAAAAAAAGAGAATTTCGAAACCTGGTCCACTGGTTAGTTGGTTGGATGGCCGTGTCGTAATTCAGCTCATAAAAATTTTCATACAGTCACACAATCCCAAGTAGGCAATTCCTGTTGTAAATAGGCGGCTACAGTGACACACACACACACAGACATACCATACACACCGTCGTGTTCATTTGCCGCCGAAAGTAATTGTAATGGAAGAAAAAAAAAGACGAAGAGGAAAACTACGAGAAATTCAAGAATCGTAGAATTGGAAATAAAGTAATAAAAGAAAGAAAGAGCAAAAAAAAATGTAGTACCAAAAACACAACATGGCCACAATGGATCGTTCCATAAAAACATTCACAACAACAACAACAACACAGCAGCAGCAGCAGTCGAGAAAAATCCAATATAACCAAAACAAACGCGCGCATGCACAGAATATTAACTAGAATCCAAGTTTTTCAGGCTTTTAAACCCGCCAAAAAAGAAAAATCCAAGTTTCTGGTTTTCATGGGTTTGACTTGGCTGACTTTCTTGCTTGCTGGATGCACAGTACATCATCATGTGTGTGTGTGTGTGTGTGTGTGTATATACACTTGTCTTTTCTGTTTTGTTCATCTATCCGTCTGTTTGTGTTTATTTGTATGTTTAGAGAATTTCCCAATTCTGTTGTTTGATTATATTATTCATGTATAGTATACACAAAGTCAGAAAATATTATTCAGAATGATATTATTCATGAATTCTCCAAACATTCAGTTTGTTTGAATAATTCGGGATAATATAACAACAACAAACATTAAATGAATGGAATTTTTATATACATTTTGGGCATGCTCATTTTGGATTCCGTTTACAATTCTTATTTTTTTGTTCAAGTTCTTATATACTAACGAAAACGAACAAGGAAAACGATCCAATAGACATCACGAGAATTTAATATTTGTTTGTCTGTATTTGAACACTAGATCTACCTGATCATCATTATATTAATGAATTCAAATCAAGGCCGATTTTTTTCTGATTTGTAATTTGATTCTTTACTACAACGATCAATGATATGACAAAGATGATTGATCAATAAATTTCATTTCATTTCATTCATATCAGTCTCAACGTCAATCATTTTGAAATGATTCCAAAAAAAAATGACTAGAATCAAGATTGACATTATCAAACTCAATCATAATCAAATCCAAAAATGCCAAAATGAAAGGATGGAAAAAAAATCAATCTTTTCTTGATTAGATTTTGGGTTCAGTAGCATCCATTTTTTTCTGCTGTTGTTGTTGATGCTGTTGTTCGATTCGCGCATAATCCAAAAACCATATCTATCCATCCATTGTCTATAATAAAATAACCGGGTATTTTTTCATCATCATCATCATCAACAACGACAACAACAACTCGTTCATTCCATTCATCTAATATTCTGTAACTATGTATAATTTCGTTTGCGTTTGTATACAATAATAAAACTAAACGGGCAAAAAAAAAAAAAACTTTTTTTTTTGGTAATAAAATCCATCCAATTTTTTCTACGTTAATGGAGTAAAATAGAAAAAAAAAATTTCGATTTTTTTTTCTCCATTTCATTCGTCGTTATGTTGATCATTATTATAGATGTCGGGTAAACATGTACAAATCGAATAAATTGTATTTTCCCATCAATATGGTATATCAATATCAAGATTTATAGCCAATATAATGTGTGTTTGCAAAAATTTGGTACACATCATATATTGTTGTTGTTGTTAACGATTGACAACGACGACGACGACGACGACGATGAAGACTATCAATTGTGATCATATTGGCGGTGTCGATGGTGGCTAATATGATTACCAAGATTACTATCTTTCGAACACCATGACGAGAGAGAGAGAGAAAAATTCTTTGGATCGATAGATCGATTGAACAAAAATTGCGTAAAAAAATAACTTATTCCCAAAGATGGAATTAACGAAAAAAAAAGTTCTGCTTGCTTGTGTGTGTGTGTGTGTGTGAGCTTCCCTGTTATCCCAGTTTTCCTTGCTTTTAACCAAAAAGAGAAAAAAAAATAATAATTCTGCATCCACCGAAAAAAAAAGAAAATCTTTTTAACAATTTTGCTGTACAGTATATTTATTAGTACAAGAATCCTAATTGGATATTTCGGTTGTCGGTAAATACATTAGATATTGAGATTCTGGTTAAAGGCACTAGTAGTAGTAGCAGTAGTAGTAATCAATTATTTAAAGATTTTCAAATAAGATACTAGTAGCATGTCTTTGTATATAATCTTTATATTCTGTGTCAGTTCCAGAAGATTCTCGATGATATCCGCGTTTAATTTAACCTTGAATTTCAAATTTTTTTTCATTTTGATTGCATGTTTATTTAATAATCATATTAATTGAAATATGATGATTTAGCATCAAAGAAGAAGAAGAAAAAAAAAAAAACACACAGTGACACGACAAACAACCATAGTGCTGGATATGAATGACGTGACTGACAATAAACCATTTTCATTGAAAATCATTGCTTTTTGTTATTAGTCATTCTAGTTGAAAAGCAGAAGAATTTTCTCATTTTTTTTTCTTCAAAATGACAATAAAGAACGTGTATGTATTCAATACATGAATACAATTCCCAATCGAGAATTGTTGATGAAATTATGAGAAAAAAAAAGAGAGATCATATCTTCATTTTATGAGATACACAAACACAAACAATAGATTGAATCTAACGGTTGGATGTATGATGACATTATCAGTGGATGATAGCATCATAAAAGTCAAACCAAAATGATCCTAGGGTTCCAAACAAAAAAAAAAATTTATCCCGATATCTTTTGATTAACCCATTACTTTGTGTGCACATTTCCAGTGACAGTCAACTTTTTTTTCATTCTTTATATTAATAATAGTCTGATCTTTTGTTTGTTCAAAGAAATTAATGAAATATTTAAATTACTAAGATTTATTATGTGTTTTGTTTTGCATTTTTTTTTGTTATTTCATTAATAAATCATTTTCATTATCAAGTAGTTCTAATCAAGTGAAAAAAAAACGAGAAAGTTTCAGGAAAAAAAGGTAATGTAATGCTTTTTATTTCTCGATTACGTAATCATAATTTCTTATGGGAATTTAATCGTAATAATGCAAATGAGAAAAGAAAACAGAATGCAAAACAAAAAACAAATAGAATCAGCAGTTTTTTTCTCATTGGATCATCATTTGATTTAATGATTAACTTTTTGGAACGTGTAGGGTAATGATCATAAATCACTTCGAAAAATAATTTAACAATACACAAACACACACATACACACACACGACGGTTGGAAAACACTGTTTTTGTTGTTGTTGTTGTTGTTGCCAAAATGAACAATGTATGCCATTATTATTATTTTTTTCATATTCTTGGCCAATATGGATGATGTTTATTTTTTTTTTTTTTGGCCATATAGCCAGATTAAGTTATTATTTTTTTTTTTTTACTGAAATGTATTTTCCATTCTAATCTAATAGTTCCATTCACTATTTTTGTTTGTTTGTTTGTGTGCATGTATGTGTCTGGTCAAAGAAACGTTTCAGTTATGTTTCAGACCAAAAAAAAATGGAAAAAATTATCACTGTCCATTGTAATAGCTATTCAGAATAACTTCATGTCCGTAGTTATAAAAGTTTTCACTTTTGTTGAACCAAGCTGCAATTTTTTTTTTTTTGTTTCGCTTTTTTTTCTCATATATTTACGATTCCAGTTATTTTATCTGAAAATGAAAAAAAGGAGAGAAAATTGCAATAAAAATTACAGAAATAAAATGAAAAAAAACACACACACACACACATACCTGCCATTTTTCCGCGTCAAATAAAATGGTCAACAACAACGATAACAATAACAATACAATACAACAAAGTTAAATTATTACATATTAACCAGCAAAAAAAAGTCTGAAATGAAATGAAATGAAAAGTGAAAAAAATAGACAATTCCATGTGAATTCTGTTTGTATGGGATTCTATGTTTGTGTGTTGTGTTCAACAAACGCCCAACCAAATACATAATTTATTCAATTTTGAGTAAATCTGTAAATCTTTCACTTATTTTTCCCCATGTGTGTAGTCCAAAAGACTCGCCCAAACTTTTACATTAAAAAATAAAATTTTTAACGTCAAATGACGAAATTCTGGTAGTTAGGTCCAAACTGTTAATGTTGTTGTTGTCAATATTTTTTTTTTATCGCCGACACATTATTGACAAGATGGATTTTTTTTGACAATGAGGAGGCACTCATATATCTCAAGAATTTAAATGTCACAACGACAACAACAATAAAATTACACACCTGCTTTTTTTTGATGGAAAAGCAAAAAAAAAAAGTTCAGATTGAAAACTTGGCCCCGTTTTTTTTATGTTTGATTTTTGTTTTTCCGATGATCATCATTCTTCCAATGAACACAAATGTATTTCCAATTGGGCGCCAAACACACATTTAAATAAGAAAAAATATCTGTCATTAATTGTGCGCCATCTAACATGTTTAGTTGAAAGTTTTTTCATATTAAGAAAAATTATTCTGGAAAAAAAATTTCCGTTTGATTCACCAAAATTCTTTCACTCATCATCATTTATTCATTTGAAAATAATGATTTCACATGTTTCTTAGTTTACATGTTATTTTTTCAGAAAAAAATGGTTATAAATAATCGATGATTATCGAACACATCGTATTTGGGAATAAGAGAAAAATATCTATCTCCCAAATGATCTCATTGATCTCACCATTCATCTTGATTTGGTGATGATAGAAACTTTAATGAACATTGAGTGCTTCTACCTCAATTTTCGAGCCAATATGTCGCATTTTGATATTGGTTGCAATGGTCACATGAGATGCATTTGTTTGTAAAAACTCTCATTACCCGCGGCGTATCGGCATAGAAATCATTAACAAACAAACAAACAAACAAAAAATGTAGACCGTGTAAAAATGAAAAGACAAGAACAAGACAATCATATAGCGTTAATTTAATGATATGGTTTACATTTTCTCGATCATTTGGGAATTTCTATTGTTCTCACTATTGACCACTTTTTTTTTCATTGCCTCCGTTTTTGATAGTGTTTCATCATTATTAAAATGGTCATTACAATCAGTCAATTAATGATCGGGATCACCATATTATTATTATTAACGAAATAGAATATTCCATCATTCTGAAACGATTCGGCTCAATGAATTTTTTTTTTCTTCACTATTCAAATTCACGCATACACGCACACATACAAATACACTTGATGGTAAGCCATCATAACCAATTAGCTCTCATTAAAAAGAATGGGCAAAAAAAATGAATAAATTGGCTTCCATCTGAAGAGACTAACTAAAAAATAAAATAAAATAAAAAAATGTTTGTCATGTGTGTGGGTTTGTGTCAAATGATGATTATTATCCATCATCATTAACATTATCATATAGCAAGCAATAAAATATGTAGAAAAAAAAATTGGTACCAGCAGAATTTTCATGTTTTATAACGTTCTAGAACACACACACACACACACACACACTTTTTGGACAAAGGTGAGTCATACCCAGAATCAGTAAGAGAGAGAGAGAGAGAAAGAAAAAGAAAATTCTCAAATGGGATGATACATATGATGGAATTTGTCGGAACATTCTTTCGCATATACGAAAAAAAAACATTAACACACTAAATATGCTACTACTACCAGTAATATCCACAAGAATCAAATACGCATTTTTTTTTTGGTTGTATCTGTGATGGGAACGAAAATATTCTTTGAATAAAGAGAGAAGAAAGAAAGAAAGTTTTGTAAAGAAAAAAAAATAAAATAAAATAGTGACAAAATACCCGGATAGAGTCAAATAGGGGCTAAAAGTTACCATTTTTTTTTTTTTTTTTTTTTGATTAAATGGCTTGTTTTGTGTGTGTGTGTGTGTCTGTTTGTCAAATGATGGAGCACGCTCGGTTGGTTAAAAATATTTTCGGTTCATATCCAATACAAAAAAGATAGGACCAAAGTGTTTGCCTCTCTCCGTTTCACGGCCAAATTTCTATGTCAAGTTGTGCGTTTCATTTTTCCGTTCTTTTCCGATTTTCGCTTCATTGACCGACTGACCGTGTCTTGTGTATGTACGTGTATGTGCCCATTTTTTTTTTTTTTTATCTTTTTTTTTTGAAAATTTAATTTTCTAGTTATTCATTCATTACTTTTACCTTTAATTATTCGTACATTTTTTTTCCTTTTCTTCATTGTAATTCATAGCAATAGTGTTTGTGTATGTCCTCAAACGGGTTAAATAAGGCAAGCAAAAAAAAAAAAAAAATTAACACACGTATATCATCATAATAATAATGACGATAATCGAAAAATGACATAACATTGTGATCTGAAATTAAAATCAAATTCAATTTTTGATTAGAAATGTGGTAATTTTTATTATAACATATCAGATGAGACCAATCATATCATTACCGGAACGAAACATATCAAAATATGCAAAACGCATCTTCCTCTTTTTCCTCTTCATCTCAACCGCAGCAGCAGCAGCAACAACAACAACAACAACAGCAATGGTCACCATTGTCACGACCAATGTCCAGTCAAGCAATGACAAAACGTGATCGTTATCAAAGTAGCCCGTCCATGTCATTATCGGCAAATACATCACCACAGCCACAATTATCACCGGGTAAAACAACAACATCACCATTAATGATGATGATGACAAAGTCACCACAAACAAATGTTGCTCGAAGTCCAACGGACCAATTATTAGTCAATTATCAATGTGGTATATTGAATGCAAGCACACCACCATTATCACGAAGACGACGACATTCTAAATTACATTTACGTATTGCATCTGAATTAAGTGTTGATCAAAGTGAAAGTACTTCACATGCTGCCATACGACAAGAAGATTCACAGGAATCTGGTCAGAATTCGGCTCAAAGTAATAATAATAATAATAATCGACCAATGAAAGAACGATATCGAATCGTTATATTAGGATCAAGTGCTGTAGGCAAAACGGCAATTGTCGAAAGATTTTTATATGGTTCATTTGCTGATCGTCATTGTGCAACGGTTGAAGAATTACATAAAGGTGAATATGAAATACCCGGTGGTGGTTGTATACCATTGGAAATTCTTGACACAAGCGGTAAGTATAGTGTTAACTAGTTGGTTGTTTAAAAGTGATTAATTAATTAATTAATTATTTAACCACTTAATCGTACAATCGTTTCATTAAAAAAAAGGATCATTCGAATTTCCAGCCATGCGAAGATTAGCTATTTCTACCGGTAATTTATTCAATCAATTTTTTTCAATTAATTTTAATCAAATTGATATTTTTTTTATCGAAAAATTAATTCATAGGAGATGCATTTGCATTAGTCTATTCAATTGATGATCAATCATCATTTGAAGAGATTAAAAATATTCGTGAAATGATTAAAGAGGTTAAAGGTAATCAACAGCCAATGTCACCGATTGTTGTTGTTGGTAATAAAAATGATCTCGATGATGATGATGATAATGATGATGATCATAGCGATAGTGATGATAATGATGAGAAGAAAAAATCTAAACAATCATTAAAACGACGACAGGTTAAAATGGAAATGGCCGAATGTGAATGTATTGATTGGGAATATGGTTTTGTTGAATGTTCGGCTAAAAATAATAAAAATATTGTCAATATTTTTTCCTGTATGCTTATACAGGCACGTCTAAATGGAACATTAAATGTTATACCAAAATATAGCTCAAAAGGTCATCATCACCATCATCATATCAACGATCAACACGGTTTATCAACTGCAGGATCCGGTAATCGTTTTCAACAACGACGACGATCAAGTCTACCGATAAGTGAATTATTTCATCGATCATCATCAAGTAGATCGAATGATCGTTCAAGTGGTGGTGGCAGTGGTCATGGTCATTCATCATTTACAAAGAATAGTTGTACACCATCCTAAAATAAAAACGTCCAAGAATTAAGGAAGAAAAATGAACAATGAAACAATTTTTTTGGGAATCAAAAATTCTTCCTTATTTCATCCACTTTAAGCAATAGACAGCAACAGCAATACACTTGATATTTTTAGATCGATCCACATTATTTAACTTTGAAAAAAATATACCCAAATTCAAACAAAAAAAAATCCGACCAAAAACACACTCAACCACATTTCACTGATGGATAATGTCCAAAATCACCATAATCAAACACATTGATACATACATATCACCAATTTAATCTGATGTTGTCCAATCAATTGATTGATTGATTGATTTTTTTTTGAAAAAATAAAAAAAAATGAAAATTTCAGTTTAATTTCAAGCCAAAAGATGGTGCTAGCAACCGGAAACAATTGATGTGATTTGATTATGATGAGTTGGCGTAATATATAATAAAATAATCTCTTTAATTCTTAAAAAAAGAGAAAAAGGATCTCTTGAATGATGATGATGAGATACTACTATGGCGGCATTAAAAATGAAGTATAGCAATAGCAATAGCACACCCAAAAGCAAAGTTCATTGTCTGAATATATATATATGTCTGTAATGTATGTAATAATAACACTATTGATGTGTGTTTGTGTGATTGACATGAAAAAGCTAAAAAAAACGAGAATTAGGCGATAGACTCTCTTGCTATTGCTGCTGCTGCTGCTGTTTGTATTTGGTGTAAGTGTGTGTGTTCATTGCAATGGTATGTGATATGTGCATGTTCGATGGATGGATGATTTCCGTTGGCTGTGATTTTGTCGGTTTTGGCTATAGCCAAGAAATATAGAAAGAAATAAAAAAATTTTTGAATGAAATGAACACTGCCCTCATACAGTGTAGAGCATGAATAATGTGTGTGTACCTTGCTGAAAAAGGTTTTTTGGTTGTTTGCTTGTTTATTTTGTTTACAATTTTTAGTCTAACATTCGTTATGTTTCAGTTTCGGTTTTAAAATTTAAGTTCATTTTTGGTTCATGTCAATAGTCGGTTATTATAAATTTATAACATTAACATCATCATCATGATCATCATTAATGAATGAATGGACGATCCACGGTGAATTGGTTTTTCTACATTTTTAACATTTCCAAATAACACCATCTAGCCAGATGACGTATGGATTTTTTGGATAATAAAATGGATCATAAAAATAAAAAAAAAAATAAAATAACCGGCATGTCTGGTTGCATCATTATCATAATCATCATCAGTCATGACATTTAAATTTAAATTCATTCATTCTATTACAATGTTCATTTATAAACAACAACAACAACAACGACGACGAATATCCGATATAACCGACGGACCGACCAACGAACCAGCAAATAATAATAATAATAATAATGACCCGAAAAAAATAAAAAATAAAAATATACAGACATACCTGTGTATAACTATATATAAATATATATTATTCAGAACAAATGGTATGGTATGTATGGTATGTAGGTAATGTATGTATAGTTCAGACGAAGAAAAAAAAAGAGAGAAAAACCGAACATTGAAAAATTCCAATCATCACACACACACACACACACACACAAAATACCCGACGACGACGAAATACTATTCAATGACCCGCGATCATCATCATCATCATCATAATCATCATTCGACGTTGTTGTTGTTTTTTTTCTGTTTGTTGTTTGATAATATAGAAAGGTTTACGAGGATATAAAAAAAAACTATCCCGAAATATAAAAGAAAAAAAAATTCCGTTAACAATCGATATATAAATCAGCTATATAGAGACAGAAAGCTAACCAGGCCAGACACATCGAGAAAATCCACAGCTCAAACACACACACACACACACGAAGTTGTTAAACAAGTGGAAACTGAACAACACGGTTGATTGATCATAACCTGTTCATAAGTTATGACAAAAATGTTAACTATTCCGTTTTTTTGTTGTTGTTGTTGTTGTATTTGCTTTTGCTTTGTTACCGTATTTGAAATGTTCAAAGAAAAAAAAAATCAAACTGAAAAAAAACGATTGATAGAAGCCTGGTGCTGGATTGTGGTCATCAATGATGACCTATGGAGAGCATCATCATCATCAGAACGTTTACATAATTTAAATAACGGGCCATTCAACTCGTCGTCGTCGTCGTCGTCGTCGTCAATCATCATTATGAATGAAAATGGTGATGATGATGATGATGTGATCACACACAGGTGATATTCAAGTAATGCCGATAGCTATTTCTATGGTCCAATGGTTGAAAACCACTTACTTGTAATGATTTGATATTGTCCATTCCAAAAAAAAAAAATTCAACTCTTTGATTCCTTGTTCAGCTAGTTTATTGATGTTTGTCTGCTGTGTGCTATTCAATAGATTTAGGATTCTATTCATTTTTCTAGAAAAAAAATGATTGGCATTTTTTTCCATTCATTTTATGGGCCTGTTTTTTTTTTGTTTGTTTGTTTGTTTGTTTGTTTTACCAGACAAACAAAACAAAACATGAAAACAAAAATGACAAACCTTAATCACGACAATCGAATCGACCTAAACCTAAATATAGACCTACCAACAATCAACTTATCAAAAATTGTGTGTGTGTGTGTATGTCCATATCATCAGGCACCAAATCAACTTCCACTACTTCTTCAATCATCATTGATGATGATAATTAGGTAGAAATAATAAGAATTTTATATTTTGAAAAAAAGTAAATATTTGTTCATTCCGAGTATTATATACTCTGTTTATGATGTTGACAAATTAGGTGTTGAAAATTATGATTTCATTTTTTTTTTTTTTCAATCAATCCTAGTCTTGAATTCCATATTTGATCAAAAAAAAAAAAAAAAAAAAAACATGTATGATGATTGTTGACCATATAAAGGAAAGGAATGAATCCATATATTATTTTTTTTTCTTTCATCGTTTAAATTCATTAATAACTTTTTGCTTAGTTTTTTTTCTCAATTGAATCAACAAAAAAAAAACAAACGTTTAGTAATCATAATAATAATGATAAGATTTAGAAGAAAAAACAACAACAACAAACGACAAACTGAATAAATTCAACTGAAAAATGTGAAAATATTTGTGTCGCCAACATGAAAACGCACACACACATCCTACTACTATTTAGATCGGGGAAAAAAACTAATCCACATGCTGCCATTGAACATTGTAATGTACACACACACACACACACATATCCTGTGTGTATTTAAAATGAAACAACATTCATATAAACGATTTATGATGAGGTCAAGAGGGATTAATAATAATAATAATAATAATAATAATATGACCACCAAGTCCGGCCGGCTATTTCTATCTAATGCCTAATGATCATTATTCATTCATTATTTCTTTTTTATCCATAAATAATGTGGATTTAGGCCATCACCACCACCACCACCACCATCACCATTTCATTTGATAAAAATCAATCACAATAATCGAATCAATAAAAATATTTGATAGAAAACAAAAAAAAATAATAATAATGATTATTGATTATTCATCACTAAACATTTGTGTACACATGCGCCATGCAACTTCCGTTTGTGAATCAATAAATTTTTTTTTCTTCTTCTTCTTCTTCTTCTAATGAATGATTGGAATGTCTGTGTTTTTCTTTAGGCGTTTGTGTGTGTGTGTGTGTGTGTGTAACAATATTTTCTTTTATGATTCAATCCCTTTTTTTCACTATAATAATCAAATAAACGAATGTATTGATCAATCAATCAATCAATTGATTGATTGATTGATTTCCGTTACAATGAAAATTATTGATGAGTTACCTGGAATGGTGATTCTTTTAAAATTATGTTATTTTATGAATAGAAATTAATATTGAACGGTTTAAAAAAAAATTTTTTTTATGAGAACCAAGGTGATTATAACATTGTTTGTTTGTTTGTTTGTTTGTTTGCTTGATCGATTTTTTATACTTATTTTTGGATAAAAAAAACCGGCCACTTTTTACTTTAGAGTAGTGTGTTGTATGGGAAAAAAATTGGTCGCTTATCTCGCTTTTACTATCTTGCTATGAATTTTCCTACTGGAACTGATTACTTTCTCAACGATATTTTTTTTTTTGTTTTCATTGAAACATTCAACAGGTTGTCGTCGTCTGTTTTGTGATGATGTTGTTGTTGTTGTTGTTGTTACTGCTGCTGCTGCTGCTGCTATTAACCTGAATGGATTGATATAGACAGATGAAAAATATTTAAAAACCGGCATAGACATGAAATGAAATAATTTTTCTAAATAAATAGATTTAGCCGGTAATTTGGCGACATAAACAGCAAACAAACAACTCAAAAAAATAAAACAAACATTCATTGAGATATGATAATGAATAAACTAAAAATGTCATCCAAAAGCAAAGCAAAGTAAAAAAACATTTCGGATGATCATTCATCCTCATCATCATCATCATCATCATCATCATTATCGGGTTTCATTCAATTTTAATTTCGGGCGTCACATTAAAAGTCAAGTTTTGAAAAAACAGAAAAAAAATCCTCATAATCATCATGATGACCCTATGTGTGTGTGTGTGTGTGTGTGTGTGTGTGTATGTATACAGGTAATTCACCTCTGACCTCAAATTTTTTTTTTCGTACATTGATCGGGTCATCATCATGCTATGTATGTGTATTGCCATCACCATACTTCTGCTGTTGCTACCATCATCATCATCATCATCATCATTTACTGAATTTATCATTTTAGCTACATTTAACTATGATTACGACTAAGTTCATCGACATTATGTTGATGTCTATAGAACAAGAATAGTGTGTGTGTGTGTGTGTGTGTGTCTGTGTTATTAAAGTAAAGCGGAAAACAACAACAAAAAAAAATGTTCGGTATCTCTTCTTTTCGATATCATTCAGAAAAAAAAATATTCACAAAATTCAGCTCTTATGGATGGTAGTGGTGGTGGTGGTGGGTGGTGGTGGTATTTAGTAGTATGTAGTGTTCATGACATCCACAACAACAACAACAACAACAGGAAAAAACCAAAATACACATCCGTTGAATATAGCCATAGAAAGAGAGAGAGAGAGAGAAAAATGTGAATATTTTTTTTTTTTGGGTTTTCATTCACATTCTCATCATCATTGAAAACATTCGCAAAAAATGATGATAAACAGTTTTGATGATTTAAATACAATATATATGGTATTAAAGCCGGCATTTTTTTTCTCTTTTTTTCACTAAAATCTCTTCAAGATTGGATTTTTCATCAATAATCTCCAAGTATTTGTAAACCAAAAGAGAGCAAGAGAGAGAGAGAGAGAGGTTAACTAACAACGACCTAAGTTTTAGTTTTTTTTCTTCTTTTC